CACGCACACTGGAATGTTTATTGCAATCGACCAAAAATTTGATGTAGTTTGGATATTGACATTCAGTTTTTTTTCTTTGTTTCTTAAATATAATCAGTATCAGTAAAAGGTAAAAGTAAAAGTGTTATTTTTACCGGTACAAGCTTAACAAACATGAGTAGTAAACAAATTACATGCCAATAGCATCGCTTTATCTCCTTCATTTTTGTTTGAAATAGAAAAGTACTCATTAGTCCAAGGCAACTACGGCGATAGAATTTAATTACATGTGCTTCGATATTAAAATTAAAAAGTTTAAATATAAAAAAAAAAATAGTGGCTTGGGATTTGAACCGCCGACCTTACGTACCAACGGCGGCGAACGGTAAGGCCACGAGACCAAACTAGCATATATGATGACAAACTTAAATTTGATGTCGGTTTTATCTACATAATATCTGTCATCCGCGTCGAACACTTTTAGTAAATTTTGAAAAATGGTTTGATGCAAATTGTCAAATGAATGTAACAGAAGTAGTTTATTCCAAATTGTATCACAAGTATATAGAGATAGAGTTCAATTTTGTCAAATGTACCGATATTTTTGCGCACCTTGACTGCTTCGTTACTTATGACGCTGTGGCTGCTACGATATTTATGAGCATCTTGCATGTACTCATATATTTGACGCTGTGTATGTACCGATGTATTTGAGCAGGGTGAATGTATCTATAATTTTGAGGACTTTTGTTGTACCGATATAATTGAATACTTTTGGTGTACCTATATATTTGCATATCTTGTCTGTGACGATCTATAAGACGCTGACTGTACCAATGTGTTTTTCGATTTCCGATTTACATATGTACGTTTATCCGATGTTCTTACGGTGAAGGAAAACATCGTGATGCAACCTGCACATATCTGAGAATAAATTCAAAGATATGTGTGAAGTCAACCAGCCCGCACTTGGCCAGCGTGTTTGACTATGGCCTAATCACCCTTAAATTAGGGTAGGCTCCGTGCCCCTCGGTGGGGACGTATAGTGAGCTGATGATGATGATGAATACATTTCAAGAAACCCTTTTCACAACATGCTATTTCTGTTTTCTCAAAGAGATGAAAGGTGTGGCAATATTGTTATTAAACAAGTACCACGTAAATGAACCCTCGTCGTTAAAACTATTATCTGAAATGCGGATACATTTAGCTATCAAGCCCTAGGATAAGATTATTAGGGTTCCGTACCTCGAAACGATAAAGAACTGAAATTATAGGATCACTTTGATGTCTATCAGTCAAGACCCTTTTCCTTAAAGTGTGAAGGTACCAAGCTAGAATTTATTTTATATCTTCCCAAGATACGCAAGAAGAGTCACGTGAGACATCCTATCAACTTCCAACTCTTCCTCTTGTCAAGTTCCTTATCCAATATCCCTTTTCTACCTTCTACAAACTATGGTTTTTTTTTCAAATACCCGTACAGTAAAATATATGCTATGACCCCTAAAGGACCTTACTAAAGTGGCGCTACCAATAGTTCCATGTCGTTTAACTTAATGCATTGACAAACAAAGTGAATTGGCAACTTGACTCGCTTAGTTGGCGTTTGTTTGCCGATATTATATCCTTTGCGTGTTAGATCACTATTGGATAACTGGAAAATTATGTTTCATTAGAACACCCTATTGTTTTATGACATGCATATACTTTAGCTATGGTGAATTATTTTAAGTCTTAAATTCATCGTAATTTGTTGGCAAACTGTTCTACTCAGGCAGCTCATTTAACCATGGGTTTCCACTACCATGTGTACAAAACATATAGACATTCCTTCACTTGGAACAGAACAGAGATGAAAAATGTTTTGTACAGGAATTTTGCCAGTAGATTCTAGGAAACCGTGATTTCATCTGCGTGGAATTAAAAAATCTAGTAATAATTATATCCAATGTCACGCGGATACAGTGTAGCTTCCCAACAGTAAGAGAATTTTTCATATCGGTTCAGTAGTTTCGGGGCATATTAAATGCGAACAAACAAATAATCAAGTTTTTTTCTTTTTATAATATTGGTATTGGTTAAAGATTGTGCCTATAAAAATATTCGAATGTTGTTTGTATGAGGTCATTGCTTTAATGTATATTACATGTATCGGAAACTGTAACACGATTTTTATAACTCATGTGGATTAAAGCTTATTTTTATTTAAGTAAACAAGCGTATTTTAATAATTTTTATCACTTTTAGATTATTAAAGTGTAACCAGGTAAAACACGGTTTTATTTATACAAATAAATAATACTATAATAATATTATAAATGCGAAATTTGGATGGAAGGATGGATGTTTGTTAGAAGGTAACTTGAGAATGGCTCAACGAATCTTGATGAAATTTGGCATACATGTAAAACATAGTCTGAATGTACATATAGGCTACTTGTTAATTTTGTAATTCCGCGCAGACGGAGTCGCGGGCGATAGCTAGTAATAAAACAAATAAAGGGGTCTTGTAATGAAAAGTATTTAATTATTATTGTCTACTAACATGAGTTACTTAGTATTTACTTCAAAAACAAAGTAGAACAAAGAAAGGTAAAGAGAAGACTCGTGTAAAATCTATTATCATAAATTTGTGAACATGAATCACATTTAAAACAATATTAGTAAAGTTCTTTAGTTCAGAATGGTACCTTACGTACAAACAAACATTAGCGGGCTAATTTCCTCGTCTTATACGCTACAAATCGCGACGCACCTTGACCTTGCTTCGGCGCCCTACATTGGTAATTGATAGCGATTGGCCCAATTGCACAAGACAAAGCGGGTCCAACAACTAAATGTCTTACCATCATTTATAAATAAGAAATGAGGCCAAACTAACTATTTATAATATTATTAAAAGCAAATTTTAAATTTAAAAAACAGAATACCGACTAATTCGTGATTTTTTTTGTAACCATGCAAACATGTTGCAAATTATGCATTTTTTTGTTTTTATACAGAACTTCTATTACTGCTAAATTATTTGCACTTTGGTATTTTATTACTTCATATACTAACATTAATTTTTATCTTTAATAATGTACGCAATTACTAAGTACATAATTACAATATGTATCGGCACAACGCGAGTCTTATTAAAATATCAACGCCTATTCCCCTCATCAATCAATCAGACACTTGACTTGGTAACGAAAGCGCGCCAATCGCTCCGAAATATTCAACTAATATTGTTTAAAAAAATATATTATTTTGTCTAAACCCGCTACCGCCTGTGACATAGTTACCATGACCCGTTACACATGTTCTAAATAAGGTTTAAAGTATTGTTCCTTAGCCGTCCAAATACGTATGACACATTTGCGTGACTCTGATGCGCTTTCTTTGATATGCCCTCCAAATATGGTAGATGCATTATGCCCTTCGTGCGTTAAAACAGGTTCTGTTTATGAATCACTTGTTAATATTAATTGAATTATCAAGAGTTGTAAATGTCTTAGAAGTGGACATTGTAAACACTTCGTAGACATGTCATTATTTTTATATCTCACTGGCACTGGTATTCTTGACATGAGAAGGAAAACTTATACGATTATTCTAAGAAACCACTGTTTTTATTATATTATTTAAGTAGAGTTTTACGGAAAAGTATGACAATTATATAAATAGAAAGAATTTAGCCTATTCTTTTTAGTATATTTTTTCCCTATTCACAGAATTTGTCAAATGTGTTCACAATTCGCAAACTTTACCATCTAGAAGATGCTTTTCTTACATCCAATAAACAAGAAATTTTATCTTACTAATATTACAAATGTGAATATTTGGATGTTTGCTAGCAAGTATCTCCAGAAAGGCTGCATGTATCCTGCTGAAATTTGGCATACATGTAGAACATATAGGGTACTCATTAAGTTTTTTTTTTAATTCCGCGCAAAGTCACGTGCGACGACTAGTTAAACATATATTCACATCAATAGATTAAAACCAATCGTTGCATAATTTATGTCGCGTAATTGAATAAGGAATGCGTGGTAAAGTAAACAGAGACATGAAAGAAAAGCGCATGCCAAGGTTATCCCAAGGCCGTGTGCATATCCAATTGGACATCTGTAATTGTAAAGAAGCTGCCTTTCGTGTGAAACTGGCATAAATACATAAACATTTCATTTAATGGTTGGTCAGTTTTAAGGCCGCAACACACTGGAGTTTTAACGTACGTTACATTTCTCGTTACATGTTAGTTTACTGCTAGCTATCACCCACGACTCTATCCGCGGTAAATTAAAAAAAAACTTATAGACGATGTGTTCTTCCAGACTATGTTCTACATATATGCCAAATTTCAGCAAGATCCATGCAGCCGTTCCGGAGACCTTCAACAAATATTTACGCATTTATAATATTAGTAAGATTGCTCTCTTGAAAGTGCCATGATAGGACTGCAGCGTTATAAATCGTTTGGTCACTAAAGCCGACTCTTAGTGTACATTACTGTGAATTATTAAAATCCAATAATTTTAAAATACACGTCACATATGACAAATAGTTTTTACGAGAAAGTTAGTGATGAATAAATGTCGATATCATTGTGTCAATAACTTAATCCCCTACCACTGTAAAGTGATGTCATATCAAAGTCGAACGAGATCGTTATCTCGCATACATTATCGGTCATATATGCACTCGATAGAGGCAAGGTCAAAAAGAAAAATGCAATGCGATTATATACAGGGACAAATAATGTAGAGCAGTAAGGAAATCGCTTCTGCCATTAGTAACGACCTCTTTTAGCTAATTGAATCTACAATAAATATATATTTTTATTAGTACAGTACTTTAATTGGCTACAATAATTACTGGCTATATTAGGATTCTTCATAAAAATAAACTAGCTGTTTGAACCTGGAGTCGCTCGGTACAATATCAATTACACAGTTTAGGATGCCAAAGATTTTTCTCTAACAAATCAGTCCTGTTTGTTGAACAAAAGTTTAACTATTTTTTTTTTGTTCCAGTCGACAAACGACGCAGGACCAGCCATTTGCAACAGCTGCAACGCAGTGATCCAAGGCAGAGTGAGTAAATTTTAAAATTTTTAAATCACATTTCATCATCATTAGCTCTCTATAGGTCCCCACTGAGGAGCTCGGACCCTACCCTAAGTCAGGGCTGACTAGGCCATGTGAACTCGAAATACATACAGGTCATATGTTATTGTACTCGGGTAGTAATATTAATTAAGATTTGTTGCAATCGTATCGCGATGATTAATTGAAGCCGTAGTTGTTTGCTCCACATCCTTCCATACCAAAGCAATTTAATTGAGAGATAAAACCATGACTCACGAGATGGTAGTCAATTATTTTTATTACATTTGTACGACGCAATTAATAACATGGGCATAGAATCTTCGTATTCCCTTTGTACGTTTTTATGATCTTCCTTTAGATTTTTTTCTAACAATTATGAAGAGTTCATTTTCAGCCAGCACTTGTTTTTGAGTAAAACCGTGTCAATAAGCCTAGTGCAAATAAAGCAATGATAAACATACAATTATTTACAATGTACTTACGTCATCGATTGATAAAATAATAAGTTATCGACAAATAGATCTTAATGTACAAAGAGCAACGTAGAAATATACACAAAAAAAAACAATGAAAAACAAAAAAAATGATTTAAAGTTATCATGTAGTGTGTTGAGAGCGTCTGTGGCTCAGGGGTCAAGCACTTGAATTACAATCCGCAGGCCCTGGGTTCGAATCCCGCCATGTACCAATATGTTTTTCCATTTCCGATTTACATATGTACATTTAACCGATGTTTTTACGGTGAAGGAAAACATCGTGATGCAACTAACCCTCGGCCAACGTGGTTGACTATGGCCTAGTCACCCCTAACTTAGGGTAGGCTCCGAGCCCTTCGGTGGGGACGTATGTTAGTATCGCTTAGCAAACCAGAAAAACTACCCATATTTTTTTCAAAATTTGACACCTTTTTATGACGATAAACATTCCTGGCACATATGAAAAAAAATAAAAATTTTGTCCTCACGAAATAGTTAACGGTTAGGTATAACCAGATAGTACTTGTGTTGCCATGTGTACCAGCAAATAAATCCATTCGGAAATTTCGAGATATCGATAACATTGTTACAACGCGACACAATTCACTGTATTAATAAATAAAGGTTCTAGAACTCATTTCATAGGGTTACCAAGTAAAATGTTTCCACTATTCAAATTCAATAAATTCAATCTTAAAATATTTCAGATCAGCGATTATTCACATACTCCCGCCTTTTAAGCTTGCGAAATATATTGTAAAAACCTCCCGATGATAAGTAACTTAAAATTAAACATAACCTAGAGAACAAGACATCGAATTAAACAAAGTCCTAACTTCGCTTTATTTTCAAGATGTAGGAATCCAATCTTACATTTCCTCATTCCTACAAACTTTTGATAACCAAACTCTACATTAACGTTCACAGATCGTGACTGCACTGAACAAGAAATGGCATCCGGAGCACTTCGCGTGCAACACGTGCCGCAAGCCTATCGACGGCTCAAAGTTCCACCAGCACGACGGCGGTGTTGTCTGCGTGCCATGCTACGCCCAGCACTACAGCCCGAGGTGCCACGGCTGCGGCGACCCTATCACAGACGTAAGTAACATTTGTAACTGACTGTTGTTGTTTTTTTTTTAAATACTATGACAAATGCGCTAGCAGCCACTTGAATAAACACAATAGCGGAGCAACGTGTACCCATAGGCACGCGCATTTGCAGATGCGTAACTAACCTTTAACCGACATATGGAGGACGCACAGAAAGAGAATATTTCCTTCCCATGCGTCTCTTCCTCTGAGAAAAATCAACTTTCCTATTTATAATCAAAAGGTGAGAAGGGAGAGAGGAATAATTTAGGCCTCCGCCACGCTCTGATTGTCACCACCAACCATAATAATAGTGCCAAAGACGGTAAATCAACCATACCACTTATTGGTGAAGCTAACAACTAGTGTGATTAAGAATTAACATTTAAGAGTTTACTTATTATAAACCTACAGAAAGATATGCTCATTGAGATAACCCAATATCAATATGCTTTTGTACTATTTTAGTTGGCATATTAAATTTTGAAAATTACTTTTTATCCAACTCTATGTGCAACTGATCTAACATTGGGTAGACGTGAAAATGACGCAAAAATCATTGACAAGTTAGATGACGCAACGTCGGCAAACAGACCGCTCCTTGTAAGGCAGTAAAATGTTTTATAGCTCAGCCCACGCCCCACAATCAACGCGGCGTAAAGATGATGTTATCACCAACTTCGCTCCAAAGTAGTTACAACCAGACCTATAAACTTTGTAGGATAGGTAACCGAACCTACCTCAATAGCATCTATAATTTCAAAGTGACTGATTGACTTACACCAACCCGCACTGGGCCAGCGTGATTGACTATGGCCTCGTCACATCTAACTTAGAGTAGGCTCCGAACTGCTCAGTAGGACGTATAGCGAGCTGATGGTGAAGCTAATGATGATGAATCCAAACTATTGCCAAGAAATTACAAAGTGTAGAAAGAACACAATTCGTTTATCATAGCAAATGAATACATCTCAAACTACATTGCCTATAAGCAACCTTGTTACATTTAACATTTTTTTTAATCCTGCTCATTTAAAATGTCCACATTACTAAACAAACTGGTCAATTATAAAAAAACTCTCATGATTCACACACATCCGACCTCGTGAGATGTCGCTAATAAACTAATGAATTATTTATCAATGTACACAGCTGTATAACAACTGGATATACCACATGTAAACAAATCACTCGGAAGATGCTGTCTGATACATATCTATGATGCAATTATAGACATTACGCGCACACAAGTTTGCATTTATACATCGTTGTATAGTACTTCCAGTTAAATAGATTATTTATCTACGCTTATTCAATAACTAAGAAGAAATTGCAAGAGATTTTTGAGAACATTGGCTTTCAATAATAACTAAGAAGTTAAATATAGCATACAAATAAACAAAATTATCGCAGTTTATATAATTTTCATAGTATGTTGGTATTATATGTTACAAGTAAATATGCTTTAAAGCATTAGCATAGTGAATTCATTATAGTCGTGAACATATATCAGATATGAGTCATATTACTCTCATAGTCGTGTTGTAAACGTAAGTTCAAATAACCTTATTTACAAATTTCTATAAAATGTGACCTTGACTTGGTCGTTTAATTTTTTTTTTGTAAAAAACCTATTCCATTGTTTCATTTCCAATGCCAAATAACTTCTCCAATTTAATCACTATAGCCTTTATTACTCCGAACCATCGATTTCGAGAATCAAGTATTAAAACACATTGGTCGTTCTATAATAAAAACGAAATTATCCTTTACAATTTCCAATTTGGGATTTACTTTCAGACTCTTTATCTCTATCTCAGATTTAAATAACGTAGTTCAAGGGCGGCATTAATACGAATGGTTTCGTCCACATGATGCCACTGACTCAACGGTTGCACACCGCCGGAATGATAAACTACGCCCACGAGTAACACGTAACACGCTAATGACCGTAAGAAATTTCGGCAATAATATCTTCCGGTTACCGCAAACTCTTGTCTGTTTGTTTAACGTTATTTACAACTGGAAATATCTGGATATTTAAAACAATTCTTGAAACATTACTAGCTGTAGCGGGACTCAGAGTTAAATAAACATAATTAGTAGCCTATGTGTTCTTCCAGACTATGTTCTACATCTATGCCAAATTTAATTAAGATCCGTTGAGGCGTTCCCAAGATACCTTCGAACAAACATCCATCTATCGATCATATGCCTAGCTATTTGTCAAAGTATACATCGTCTTTGAATATTTATATTGTTCTATATTTCATAATCATGAGTTTCCACCTGTATAAGAACGTTTTGTCAACATGTTTTGTACAGATGTTTCGGCGGTGGAACTTCCCTTTCCAATACTATTTGCACGTTACAAAAAATAATTCTTTATAAATTTAATTACATTCACATGATTAATGCGTAGTTTAACAAAGAGGTTTTATTTGGGTATACCCTGTTTACTATAGAGTCAGAATTGTCTCTGGCGCAATGACATCATTTGTTTATGAAAAAAAAAACAAAGTCCGCTCAGCCGTGCGCAGTGATAAGTGTATCTCCATACTAGTGACACAGTGATTTATAAACTGAATAGGACTAGTCCTAAATCTATTCCGTATTAAATGTAAAAAAAAAAACATTCTCTACATACAAAGCTTTTAAGCTAAAAACTCGAAGGAATATTGTATTAACTCAAAAAAGTTACGCAAAAGTATATGCTGAATGAAAAAATCCTATGTACTCTGAAATTATACACTTTTTAATTTTATCTTTAACTCGTGTTTAAAGTACCAAAACTTACGTTTCTTAACAATCATGACCTCGACAACAATAATTTCTTTTTAAATATTACCAACGCAACAAAATTGATTGCTTCATTTGCATAAACAGTGCAAGTTTATTTAAAGACTTTACAATAATCTTATGTACTTTAATGTCCTTAATCTGTATTTTAATGTGGCCGCCCTATCCGAGGCTATTTATACATTCGTTTAACAGGAACGTAATGTCTAGCATTGGGAGACAACAAGCTTTTAATCATTCATACAGCTTTTGATGATGTAATCGTATGCGTCCGAAGATTCATATCCAAATATACAATACAATGGACATAAAGATGTTTTCAACATGAATTTATTATCAAGATTTATGCCTGTACGTACACGTCTTTAATGGCGTACTTTAATATATTTTACTAAAGAGATTTTAACAGTTTTTGTTGAGAATTAATATAATCAAGACTTCAATTCTCAATTGTAATAGAAACTCAAGGTATCCTATAACTATATCATCTTCTATTTGTTACTAAATTATTATATTTTTCTATTTACAGCGTGTAATTCAAGCTCTGGGAGTATCGTGGCATTCAAATCACTTCGTATGCGGTGGCTGTAGGAAGGAACTTGGTGGTGGTGGCTTCATGGAACAGGTAAAAGTTCTATTTCATCTCTTAGGTTCTTAATTGAACCTTGTTTTCATTTTGTCCGACTCACGAGGACTAATGGGTTTGTTTTGATTACAGGCTGGCAGGCCTTATTGCTCGGGGTGCTACGCTGAGAAGTTCGCGGCCCGATGTGCCAGTTGCAGCAAACCTATCGTGGACAAGGCCATCATTGCCCTTAACGCCAAATGGCATGGTGCATGCTTTACTTGCAAGGTAATATAAATAGACATTACTAGCCTTCTGTTCTTTCAGGCTATGCTCTACATCTATGCCAAATTTCATAAAGATCCTTAGAATCGTGCCGGAGATACCTTCAAACAAACATCCATCCATCTAAACATTCGCATTTATAGCTAAAATAGTAGTTAGTATTAGTAAGATGAAAATAAACAGAATGCACAGTTAAGTAGACGCGAGTGCTTCTTTTTGAAGTCGGATAAAATGGACTCTTGGGAGATGAGAGATGGAAACTTGGGGATAATCTTAGACTTTGAATACTATGTAAATAATATTACAAAGACTGGAATAAAAGTAAATTGTCCCTAAAAAGAAGTAAATGAAAATATTCGTTTATTTTCCAGAAATGCAGGAATCCAGTGACGGACTCTACTTTCTCGGTATTGGATAACATGCCGCTGTGCGGAAAATGCGCTTAAACACGCAGACAAACACATTCACACCCATCAACATACGATGTCTATTTAATATATATTTAGTTCACATACTAAACGCGGCACTCTCTATTGCCTTTAATTTATATGAAGCTTAAGCGATACCACTATACTTATATCCTTTACAGTAGGTTTCCGAGACCAAAATCCTTGTATATAACATACTAGCTGTCGCCAGCGACTCCATCCGCGTGGATATATAAAAAAGTCAATTAGTGTAGCCTACCCATCTATCTATCCACATCTAAACATTCGCATTTATAATATTAGTAAGTTAAATAAAAAGCAGCTCTTCAAGGCATAAATTCGAAAAAAAATGAATAAATAGTATCCTATGTCCGTCTCCTGGCTCTAAGCTACCTCCTCACCAATTTTCAGGCATATCGGTAAAGCCGTTCTTGAGTTATAAATAGTGTAACTAACACCACTTTCTTTTATATATATATAGATTATACCTTTTTTGTCAAAGATAATGACAGAAATGATATGTTTTATACAGAGATTTTGATCTCAGGAGCCAACTGTAAAAGTTTGGTTATATTTTGTCACAAAATTAGAATTCGTACGCATAAAAATTCAAATAAGTGTTTCAACTCACGAAGCGTCAATAGACTAATAGTTAAGGGTATGGATTTCCGATCACAAGATCGGGGTTTCGAACCCCGCCATTCGACTATTGTCGTAAACCATTACTAGCACAAGCCTAGAGCTTAATTAGAATGGTAAAAGAAATATTAGTAAATTTCCAAATAAAATCTGATAATATTTTTATAAAAAAAAAAGAAAAAAAGAACTTATAAAGGATTTTAGTGCTTAAGCACAATTTAATGTTATTAAGTTTTACCATCACATTAGAATTACGACTCTATGGAATAAGCCATAAGGTATATTTTATTAATTTATGTGGTCGCTTTACAAAGACATTTTGTTTATAAGATGATATATTTTTGTATCTTCAAACTATTTACATGCATATTCTATACGTTTACAATTGTTATTGTGACAAACAATACATTTTACGCTTCTCGAAGACTTGAGTTTTCAATAAAGCACATTTGGTTTTTTTAAATTATTGTTTCATTTAAAAAGATATCCTAAAAAAAACAAAAGATTCATCAAACGAAACTATTCCTTATTCTTATTTAAACTTAAGATACTTAAAAAAAACCAGCAAAAACTCATAGATTTCTAATTTTCTAGGGTTCCGTACGTCGAAAGGAAAAACGGTACCCTTAGATTTCGCATTAAACACTTTTTTTTTACAAAACTAAATAAAACTATCTACTTAACAGTCTTTATTATACAATTTACGACAATACAAGCTTTCGCTCGCGAGTCCGTCCGCACGGAATTAAAAAACTTAATAAGTAACCTATGTGTTCTTCCAGACTATGCTCTACATCTGTATCTAATTTCATTAAGATCCGTACAGCCGTTCTGGAGATACCTTCTAACAAACATCCATCCATCAATCCATACATTTATAATATTAGTAAGTAGTATTACTAAAAACAGAGAGCAAGGGAGAGAGAGAGAGAGAGAAGAGCACTTACCTTGTATCTCTTCTCATTCCTGCTTGTATCTGGTTCATACATGACGACCGGAGACAGCACTCGGCTACTCTTCACCACTTCTTTTGGTGACTCGTACGCTGGCTCTCTTCTAGAAGATTCTATTTTCGTGTTCACTTCGGCGGGTTTCTTCATCTTCTGGTTCCTTCTAGAAGTTTCCACTCGTTTCTGTCGTGGTGTGGGCACTTTGGTGCGGGATGTTTGTGCTTTGGTCGGGGAGGGCAGCGCACTGGGTACCAGGCTCACATGACTCTGTTGAAGTTGAATTTACATTTTATATAACGTTTTCGAATTTCTTCATAGCTTGATTATAGTTTTTAATCGATCATTAAGCGACGGTTTCCGAGACTAAAATTTTTCACAAAACAGAGATAATGTTTTAAATTGGGATTTTTGTCTCAGAAACCAGAGTTAAAATAGTTACTCAGGGTTTAACCGATGTGTTTAAGTAGTATAGTCAGTCTTACCGTTGGTTTCTGAGGCTGAAAAATATCGTATAAAATTGAGAAAACGAGATAACGATATGTTTTACGGGGATTTTGGTCTCAGAAACCAACCATAAGTGATTTTTAATAATTTTTCTAACGTATAATAAAGTGTTACTGTTAAACGTACCGCAGTGACGGCCTCCACCATGGTACGGACATCTGCGTCATCACGTCGTGGCCGCACTTTGCTGCGTACAATTTTTTTAAATTTAAATATCAGTTAACACTGTCTCATTATATGTATACTTGCTGTCGTCTGCGGCTTCTTCCGTAAGGTATTAAAAAAATAGTAACCTATGTATTCTTCCAAATTATGTTCTACATCTGTACCAGATTTCAGTAAGATCCAAGCAGCTGATCTGGAGACATCTTCTAACAAACATCCATCCAAACATTAGCATTTATAATATTAGTAAGAAGTAAGATTAAAGTATACATTTCGCCTATGACTTCATAAGCGCAGAATTAAAAAAAATGGCCTGATTTAATCTCGTACAGATTGTCTCTTAAAAAAAACAAGATTTATTGTCAAAATGTAAATAATATGGTATACTAACATCGGTGACTTCCTCTTTACTTTGGGCGATGTCACTTTCCTGGGCATTTGCTTTTGACTTGTCTTACTGGTGGTGCTCGTCAACTTGTTGGCACTAAACAATAAAACTATCTAAATATATTGTTCCTATATATAACGAGTAAGCGGTCGGAACAGCGAAGCTACCTTTAATCGACAGGGGAGGGGACGCTCAGAAATCCTTCCCCTTCCTGTGCGTCCCCTCCTCTGTCAACTTCACTTCCCCGTCCCATCCTTTTCTTATAAAGAAAGAAGATTAAAATTATTACTATTAAGCAAAATAAAATCGACAAGGGAATTAAAAAAAACTTCACCTTGACAAACTATTCTTTGTTGAAGATGCCTTCGGTTTCAAGTTGATTCGAAGAGTTTCCAGCGAATACATTGACAGTTTACCATCCGCTCTGGACGCTGGAAGGAAAATGTTATATACAAAAGCAGCAATGAACCTAAAATATTTAGTACAAAAGTATACATTACTTACAAGTTTTTACGCCTGTAAACTTCTTTCCTCTGCCTCTGTGCGTTTTATTGCCGTTTCTCTGAAAGAATACACAAGTTATAAATTTGTAAACAACAAATAAATATACTAGCTGTCGCCCGCGACCCCGTCCGAGTGAATTCAAAAAAAAACTTAATTGCTAACCAATATGTTCTTCCAGATTATTCTATATTCATGCCAAATTACAGCGTAATCTATTCAGCCGTTCTGGAGATACATTCTAACAAACATCCATCCGTCCATTCATCCATACATTCGCATTTATAGTATTAGTAAGAAGTAAGATTTAATAAAAACAAAACGTAGTAATTAAATAATTATTTATCGAATCATTCACACATTCATTCACTCTTATCCGTTCATTCGTAGATTTATTTTAGAGCAGAGGAGGCACAGAAAAAGGACATTCCCCCTTCCTACCCACCTAAATCTGCTGTAGACACCTCCTGTTCCCACCCTTCCTAATAAGAAAAAGATAGAAAGCGGACTAAAATTACTCCTTCGTCTCATCAGACTGTATGGAATTATTTCACTTGTGTCTTCAGTAAGTGCTGGTAACAGTGTTAAATTGAGCGAAAGTTATGAACTTACATCATCTTCAACGTTCTTGATGAAGTCAGCAGTTCTCTGGTTATGTTTGGCAAGAGCTTCATCCAGCTTGTCACATGACAGCGCCAAGTTCTACAAAATGAATGCAAATGGTTAACTGAATGAATGACTAAGTGAATGAATGAATGATATGAATCCAAAACTATACTTAACTAGCTGTCGATCGCGACTCCGTGTGTGTTCTTCCAGACTATGTTCTACATCTATGTTAAATTCGTTTCATCCGTTGAACCATTTTGTAGATATCTTTTAACAAACAACCATCTACCCATACAAACATTTGCATTTATAATATTAGTAAAGTAAGTAGTGAATGACTGAATGACTCACATCAGCGTATAGATGTTTGATGGCGTGCTGGGCGGGCGGCGGTATCTCGCGCACCAGCTGGCCCAGCACCAGGCCAGCCTGAGACCCGTCTCCAATGCAGATTGTTTGACAGAACGACTTGTGAAACGCCTACAACATATAAAATAATTTAGGCTATTTGGATCACTGCCGATTCACCGATAGGCCTATCGGCTATTGATAAATCGGCAAAACGGTTTTTTTCATAATTGTTGTTCCTATGGATTGAATCGGCCAAATGGATTTTTTCCTTATTATTCTCTCTATGGATTCAATCGCCCGAATGGATTTTTGTAATTTTGATGACTATATCAGCTGAATAGGACATTTTTTTATTCTATTGACTGAATACAAATAAGATTATACAAGAATAACTCACGCAGTAAGCTTGCAGTATGTTCTGGTGGAGGGAGACAATACGCAGCATGTGCGCCTGCAGCTGAGTGTGCTGACCGTACGGCAGCTGGGAACTGCTGGTACGCTTCAAGTCATGGATCTGTATCCAGTTTGGATTACATTAAGAAACATATGCACGGAAAAAAAATATTTTTCCTTTCCATGCATCCTCTCATCCGGAAAGTCCACTTCCACTTCTCATCCTTTTCGTATAAGATAAAAGGTGGGAAGGGAAAGAAGAGTAAATAAGGCCTCCGGGACGCACACTCATCAGACTGCAGCGGAATAGCTTCCACTTGACGCCTGTCTTCTGTGTGTTCATGGTATTTCACCGGGTGAGCCGGGCCAAGTCGTGCGAAGATGTTAAAGCTCGCTCTACCACTGTTAAATGTGCTGTGTGTAATGCTTGAATATTTGTCCCTCACCTGTCGCTGCAACTGATAAACATGTATCCGACTGAACCTAGAATTGAATTCGGCAGATCTTTTTTGTATTTTCTTCAACTCTTCCGGATCTATGTTATATATATCAAGACGTTCTAATGAAGTGCTGTAATAAAATGAAATTTCACATCTCAATTTTTGTCAAACAGATGAAAGAGATGGATAATCATTAACACATGGCTCTCAAAGTTCACAGTAAAACACACAAGTTAATATTCTATATTCTTGTCTTTTTAAATACACAATTAAAAACTAATTTAATAATTTAAAGACTCTGAGTATGGCTATGAGTAATCTACATAATATGATGCCGCTCCAGAACACAAAAGTGAGGTAAAACAAGACCTCCCGGAGGCTGTTTGTTTGGGTTAATTCCATAAAATTTTAGCTGACTTCAAAAAGAAGAAGGTTCATCAATTTGTCAGTATTTTTTATAATTTATTATACAAAATGAAATATGGAAAATCGACTTTTAATTAGACGTCAAAGTTTTATGAAACATTCCATCTATATGTTTTATATCTATGGTAATATTTAACTCACATAATGCTGAGTATTTCTTCGGAGATCCTGACCCTTAGATCTTTTACTTTGGCGCAATATATACTATTTTCTAGAACACTATTTATATTTGTTGACTGAGGATTTGCTGCATTACCTGAAAAACATAACATATATGATATATGAAATCCTAAGAAAATTCCTACATCTTCTCTTTACACAACTACTAATAAAAGAAAAGATAATAAAAAAAAGGGATAACTATTCCTTTTCTTTCTTAAATCTTACTAATATTATAAATGCAAATGTTTGGATGTATGGATGGATTACTGGATATTTATTTAAAGATATCACCATAACGGATGCTCAGATCTCGTTTAAATTTGGCATAGATGTATAACATAGTCTGGAAGAACACATAGTCTACTAATCAGTTTTGTTTTTAACCTTATGCAATTGAAGTATTAATTATTTTGATCTGTAAAAATTTCTGAGAATCTCATATACAAATTAAAATATACATACATGTATCTTTTTCCGGTGTTGGTTTTGTTTCCATCGCCTGTTCTTCTATTTCTTCCTGTTTCTCTCTAACAGTGCACAGAGGACTACCCGCAGAATCATTTAATATTTCTTCATTAGCTAAATATTATCAGGGAATTACTATATCAAAGTTATTGTGCTATTTCCAAGTTTTTTTGTCTTTGAAACTTTATCACGTGTTCACTCTGACATAAAGAATACATCCCCACCGAGGGGTTGGAGCCTACCCTAAGTTAAGGATGATTAGGCCATAGTCAACCACGCTACAATATAAAGTTTGTTCAAAAGGTAAATAATAAAAAAAAAATTCTCATTAAAATTATAAGAGAAGGCTCTGTCTCCTGTAACATACTTTTAACTAGTTCAAGAGACAGATCCTCACAAATTTTGCAAAAGATGGTTTTTTTGTTCAAGAAAGAATTGTTAATAATATATGTATTCATTTATTTATCATGAGTATAGTACATTTCATATCCAAAATAAAAAATTATATTATACAAAATATTTTATTATTTATTATTATAAAAGAGAATGTTTAGATGTAAGAATCGATGTTTGTTAAAAAATATCTTGAGAATGGCTGCATGGATCTTGCTGAAATTTGGCATATAAGTAATCAAGTTTTTTTTATCATGTGCGAATGTTGTCTTGACGGAGAAATAGTTAATTAATTTCTAACCTGAAAACCCCTCATCATCTTTGTCCTCATGAAATATGTGGAATATGTTATCATCATCACATTTTTCATTTTCTGTGCTCTCTGTGGATACAGGACTTTCTTCACCAGGTGAAATATCTTCATCTTTTCCCTGAAAATATAAAAAAAATGTTCCTTTTGTTGTTCGTAATGGCTGCAAAACTAACATTTTGAAAACCTTTGCGGAAGAAAAAAACTTTTTACTAATGGTTTGAATTTTTTTTTTATAACAGAAGAGGGCAAAGGAGCAGTGGAACACCGAGGTGTTCAACAACGCCCATGGAAATCAGCAATACTAGGGACCTGCAGATGCATTGCCGGCCTTTTAAGTGGTGATAAGCTCACTTCTTGAAGGACCCTAAGTCGTAGCGGTTTGGAAATCCAGCCGAGGACAGACAAAATTACAAAATTAAAATTACATTGAATTACAAAACCACAAAATAAATCAAAAAGCTTAGACAAAAATACTCATAAGAAAACAGTGAAAACTCTTAGTGAAATTTCTCAATACTTTTCTTACATTTGTTTCATCTTCTGTTTTGTTTTCTTTCTGTTGTACCTTTTTTAAATGATTTTGCAATAATTCATTCAAACAAGATTCTGAGAGTTGTTCAATAAATTGATATGGATCACCTGAAATCATAATGTTTTGTTCTTATATTTCTTACACAAAATTATCTTACTTATATTATAAATGCAAATGTTAAGATGGAGGCTTCTTTGAAGGTTCCTCGGAAACAGCTTCAGGGTTTTTGTTGATATTTTGCACAGATGTAGAACATAGTCTGAGAGAACATATAGGCTACTTATTATGTTTTAACCAAATTGGGAAATGTTATATCAAGATGCAAAAGTCAGAAATAGTTGTAGATAAAAGCCTATAGAGCTGCCTATAAGTAGAGTATACTTACTATACTTTGTGACTGCCTCTGGATTGGAATCTCAAAATGGAGTTATGTGTATACAAGTTATAAATGTTAGATATGAAATTTTTATAATGAAAATATCTTACTTTCATAAACAGTCCGCACAATATCCTGCTCTTCAATAAATTCATTCCATATTTTTTCTTCTTGCAGCTTTACCCGTTCACGTCGGTTCGATCTCCATGCTCTCTCTAGCTCGCTGTCTTCTACGTACTACCAATAAGAAAATAAATAGTTTTTAACACTTGAATTTCTTAGAAATATTACTTTTTCGGATTTAACGTTGCTATTAGGTTAAAAAACAAGTTTAAATGAAAGGACACAGATTGGATGAGAGAAGGATAACGTTAAATATCTTGTATTTACGTAAATACAAATTTTTAAAAGAGATTTAGCATACCTGTAAATCTAAACCTTTAATTTTGACCTCCGTTCCCGGCATAAATGAAAATCCTCTTATGGAAGTTTCCATATCAGACATCATAATTATAATATCCAGTTGTAAGTTCGCCTTTGATATTTATTGTAAAAACCAAGCCATTATATTTTTATAAAACAGTGTAAACCAAATTTGAAAACAATTGTGACATATTCGAATTTTGTTGTACGTTCGGATACTCGCTTAAATTTTCAGTTGCTTCATTTTCAGTTATAATGCAGGAGAATAATAAATATAAAGCAACATAAATAATCAATAACCGTAACAAATTCTTTCATTAATTTAAGAAAATCTGAAGAAATTTTGTACTCCTAAACAAGTTCTTTAATCAACACCAAAAACATGATACGTGATATAGATGGCGTGATTGTTGATTTTTCATTATAATTATACATCCGTTTTATTGCGCAGTTTTCCCGCCAAAACTGTTTGAAAGTTTGCGAAGAATTAATGAAACATATTTTAACAAGGATAAAATTTAAAATTATAGTAACACACAAAACTACTTTCATATATGAGTTGTCCAATTTGATAAATTATTGTAATAAACTCTTATGGTTACTTAGCAACAACATAACCTATAAAATCAATCATTGATGTGATTGTGGGTCGAGTCTTAGGAAAAATTAAGGATTTTACACATATATTATAAGCAAAAGCCTTTATAAAGAAGTAATTTATATAAGAATAGATTGATAACAATCTTCCGATCGATGTGTGGTATTAAAGCTAAATGATATTCAGTACGAGGCCCACGTTGAATATGGGAGCACCTATAGCCCCTGTTTTGAAACCATTAAATCGTTTATCACAATGGAGTCAATTCACTCCCTTACCTACAACAAATTTAGATGCGACGTGTGATATTAAAGTGGTAAGCAATTTTCATTCAATAGTTATTAGTTGCCGCAACACAAACATATCCTTTGTATATTTTTCAGAGTATTATGGTTACTTTAATTTATTTTGGTAGCAACTATAATTATGTTTAATTATTAACAATCTTAGTTCTAGGAAACTAAATAATTAAAATATAATCTTACTAAATAAATATGGTTACTAAAATACTCGCTTATTGTAGATTTCTCTCACCTTGAACATAAGAATTCTGAGGGCGGCTGTTATTCATTTAATAATGATTGTATATTATTAATATGAAAGTTATAAAAACCTATCGCGGCTGTGACCAAATATAATAAATTATAAAAAATATTACTTTTTTTATATCATAAGGTCGCAATTGTATATGCGTTGCCTACGGGCTCTACCACTGATACTGCTTTTAATAGATCTACAATAAATCTAATACCTGAATAATCTTGGCTGAAAAAGGTATAGTTTTTTTGTCACTGATAATTTTAGAAAAAAAATTCCCTGCATAAAATTTTTTTAAGCACTATTTTATTTCCACTTTGCAGGATTTAGTATCAATTATAACATTTTTTTATAATTTGAACTACTGCAATACATCTTGATTTAATAGAATTACTGCGAATGATTTCACTTGACATATATACAAAGAAATGGAAATGGAATTTGATTCAAAATACTTTTGGAATAAGAGTTAAATTCGTATTTTCTACTTAAAATGGAAAAAATTATATTTGTGACGGCTTTTACTATGGAGACATTATGTAGGCATACTATATCAAACGAAAAGATTTCCAGCATAGATTTAAAGGTAATATATTTTTTAGGGTTCAGGCAGAATTATTGCCGTGTACTGGAGTTAAAATCATTTATCTAGGATATATTTGCTTGTTTAGAATAATTTTAAAACCTTTTGTCTGTCTGACAGCAAGTCGCGTTTGTTCTTGGTAAACTTCAAAATGGCTGGACCGATTTTCATGGGATTTTGATTGGAGGGTAGATACATGCAGCTATATAAAAGGCTACTTTTCTTTATTCTGCGGTGACGAGGTCGCAGGTGACCACTCGTTCAATAAAACTAACAGTAGCAGCATGTGCAGACGAACATACTACACGTTAAGGTTAGGATACTCTATGGTGTTATCCCATCTTCTATGTAAACCATTCGGAGTTTTCCGAGTAGAATGAGCTATCACCCTTCAGCTAGGTGTCATGAAAACTGGACACGGCGGTTGGCAGTGCGCCACAGATGGCTAATGACGGGCCCCGTGACTCAGCGCACAGGTTGCGACCAAGCTACGTTCGATCGATACCTCACCCCCGCGCATTCCCCGCAGCACCCCGCAATCGCCGGGCCACCTCCCCGCGATCTCTCCGGCACACCCCACGCCGCGCACTCCGTGGCCCATGCAGACAGACCGCGAGCATCCATCGCGCTGGTCGAACGTACCATCAGGTCACTGGTTCAAGGTCACGATCGCATCGTCTCCGAAATAGTTGCAAATCGAAGTGTTTTCGCGCTCGTTTTGATTTTATTTTTAATTATTACGGCGCGGCTGAAGGCCGCTCCCATTCGTCGTGCACATGCCGACTAGCTCGTGCAATCGCGCGCGCGCCGCAACGTAGATCAAAACAAGATATTTGTTGCAACGTATCTTGATTTTTCCGTGCTGCAATGGCTTCCAAGGTTCTCGTTCCGACTTCTCCCTTCGCCAAACTGCAGGTGAGCAAGGGTTAAACGTATCTTAGGCAAACATAGGACGTTCCCACCTACAAAGTATAACTAAATAATTTGTTAGTGTCTTGTAATCTTCTTATATGTAACAAATTTCCAATTAGAATAACACTTATATTCTTTCTTACCAGTATTTTTACATTTAACAGCAACTAGTCTATTTTTCTTAATGCGCAGTTTTACCATTGCGAATGTTATCTTTTGTGTTATATTTATGTATCGTAAGACAATAATATACGTAAACAGTATAATTAAAGAATTTATAATCGCAATAGCAGCAAAATTGGATATAATTGAAATTCACAAACACATCTCCATTGTTGCAAGTCAGCGTTTAGGGCAGGTCAATAACATGATGGGGAAAAAACCCATTGTATCGAAAGGGGGTTTTCCATTTTCTTCAATTAACTATTCAAGTTTTAATTTATGTATGAACTGATGATTACTACATGTAGATAGAGTTTTATACTTCTTTAAAATAAATAACTAATCCAGGTTTAACAATTTTTCACGCTATTTTTCTTAATTTCCTCGTTGATATTTTCCTTTTTTAAATGTACTTCCCGATCATTAACAACTTACCTTACCTTCCTTTCTCTTTGTGGGAAATGAATAAAGAGAGATTTTTCAAAGGTTTTCCATCTCTTCGAAAAGCTGAGTAGTTTTCTATATTTTAATTTGGTATAATAAACGCTTGTTTCAAAAATTGCACATGTAATAATTTCAAAATCTTAAATGAAATACGAAACTTTCAAAAACATATAATCTATCAAATCGATTAACGAAATTTAGTATCCGCCTGTTTATTTTGATATAATAAATGCATAACTCTGAATTTTTTCTAGGCAAAGTTTCTATGAAACTATTACTCATGACCTCGTTCCTTTGTCTTCATCGTATTCAAAATTGAATAGTTATGTGCTTGTCTATTGACTCGTACCTCTTGAATTTGAAACAGACTTCTAGGCATTTAAATTTTCCAATGAATATAATATGTTTACGGCAGCTGGTATACAAATATCAAACTGATATACAACTATCCGCTAGATATCTATTTAACTAATTAACTGAAGAGGTCTTTGATGTTAGCCTCTTTTGTAGGAAGAAAAAGAACGCACCTTTGTTTAAGAGATACTTGAAAGATCAACTCCAATTGCCATATCATTATTATATGGATGGTTTGTAAATTGCCCACCAATTTCTGACTTTTGTGGATGACGCTATAATTAATATTCAAAATTATTCTGCCTTGGTTTGGCTATCAGGATTCAGGCTGCAGTCTTCCGATCTTTAATAGCTGTCAAGTTGAACTATTACTGATAAATTAAATTAGGTACAGTATTGCAGCGAAAGTGCCTTGGCCAGACAATAAGAATCTTTACCGTCCGCGGACATGACTCGCTTGGACAGTTTAGGATTTGGACCATACAAAGGATGGCCTTCGTCAATGAACGTTTTCTTACGAGTTCACTTTACGCAGTTCTCCTCAACTGTTGCCACACAATAGTTAAAATCTTGCTTAAAATTTCCAGGTGAAGAAGTCACCCCCAGAAGCAGCATCCAGCGGTTTCTTCGTCGGCGCAGACGCGGGCGCGCGTGTTGCCCATCTGGAGCACAGCGTGCGCTTCCTGCAAGAGCAGCACCGACAGATGTTGAGCGGGCTGCACGCTGAGATAGAGGCACTACGAGAAAGGAATCGAGGTAAATACCAGGACTGTATTCAACAATACTGAGACATTAAACAAAGTTATTTTTTTTTTGTTTGCCAATCTGGCAAACGAGCGAGCGGCCACCTAAAATCGCTGAAATAGCGAAGTGACCGTTGCCCATAGACAATTGCATATGCGTTACCTACCTTTATTCGACGGAGGAGAGGATGCACAGAAACAAAATGTTTTCCTTTTCCATGCATCCTCTTCTCATCGGAAAGTCCGCTGCCACTTCTCATCCTTTCCTTATAACAAAAATGGTGGGAAGGGAAAGAGGACTAAATTAGGCCTCCGGGACGGACACTCATTAGACTGTAGTTGGAATAGGTTCCACTTGACGCCTGTCTTCTGTGTGGTTGTGGTATTTCACCGGGCTAGCCGAGACAATTCGTGCGAAGATGTTCTTCAGAAGAAGGAAAGTATTCAACAAGACTGAGCCACCAATCTTGACGATTATATAAAGAGTATAGGAAGCAAGATTCGTGATATTTAAACATTGTTTTTGTATTTGCGTGATTAAAAATATGAATTTTATTACCATTTCTAACGGCATTCCAGAATATAAAACTGTTGGTATATGTTTTATTAAATCAGCTAATCTCTGAAATGGCTGGACCGATTTTGACAGGACTTCTATTGGTAGGTAGCTTATGTAATAAGGAGTAACTTAGGCTACGTTTATTTTAGAAAAAAAAAAAATTCTTAGAAAAATTAAGTGTGTCCAGTACCGCGCGCAGCTCAAATACAATATTTCACGCGAACACAGCTAGTTATTAAAAATGTTAAAAGGAAAATTCTAATTGTAGATTTCCATTTCCGAACACTATAGAAATATAATATCAGGGGCTTCCGAAGCCATTGCAAGCGTTTCGCTTCGCACGCTTTATGCAACGCGAGTACGTTTGTAGATGGGATCAAAATCCAGTAATGAATATGCATGAGTTAACGTAACCGACTAATTGACTCGCGTTGCCAAACAAATTGTTGTGTAATTAAATCTGGAGTAACGTATATTTACATTTTTTAATGTACAAATAAACATACTTAATTTCAAGTAGCTATTTTAATAATATTTTCTTGTATTTCAACATTTGGGGATAGAAAAAGATTTTGTTTCTACGAATGATGATGTCATTTTAATTATATCTGGTTTTAATAATTACCATTAGCTATAGAAAAAAAAATGTTTCGTATACGTGTTTTTCGGCGTTAAGTGCACTACGAAAGTAATTTTGCAAATATTATAAGTCCGAATGTTTAGTTGGTTGGATGGATGTTTGTTGGAAAGTTTTTCCAGAATAGGCTGCATGGATCTCGCTGAAATTCGTCATTGATGTGGATAGTCTGGAGGAACACATAGGCTACTAACTTTTTTTTTTATTCCCCGTGGACGGAGTCACAGGCGTCAACTAGTTGATATTTTCCCTAAATTACGAGAGTGACCGGTAAATCAATATTTCGATCGTGGGTGCATCAGAATGAATCATTTGTTTCACCTCGAGTTACTAAGCTGCAATTGCATTGTTTGGAGTGCATGATATCACCCGCTCTTACGATATTCGAGAATCCACGTCTCTAAAGGTGCTATCACACTGAGGGGATAAAATATTAAAATCAATATTTTGTTGTGGCAACTTGAAAAAAATATATTCGTCTCTTTTATTCGTTTATGAGAAATGTGAAATAATATGTTTTGCATGGATGTTTCGGCTGTGGAAAACTTCGATTAGTTTTCAGTGTCTTTAAATGTAAAGGAGCGCCTACACTGTAAACTATATTTTAGAATATTAATATAAATCATTTTACTGTTTGAAATAACTAAATGGAAACGACAAACGTAGGAAAATGCTTAGTTATATTATGCAAAATATTTTTCCAAAAAGTATAAAAGTAAACACAAAGGTAACTTCGGTCACCTTCCATTGAATTTGGTTATTATGTGAAAATTCTCAAAACTGGTTATTAGTTACCATACAAAAACATTGTAACAATGAATCATACACACAAAGAAAGTACATATTATCTTTTATTTATTCCAGATCTTCAGTTTCAACTAATTTTCAACAAAGATTCTGCACCAAAATCCAGTGCTACAATCGGTGACGAGCCCGCGGTGATTAACGAGGTAATTAAGCTAAATGCTTATTTTTATATAGACAAGAAGTATTGATCTTCAGCCTTCATCTAGCGCCAAATACAGCTTTAAGTTCATAATGAGAACTTCTTTATATGTGTGTAGGAGGTACAGTCTCTGCGCGTGGACGTGTGCCGCTTGGAGCGCGAGGCGGCGGCGGCGCGCGGCGAGGCGCGGGCAGCTGAGGCCCGTGCCCTGCAGCTGCAGAAGCAACTGGACGCCCTCACTGTGTACTGCTCTTTATACATACCTCTCTTTCGCTTCTGTACTCCTAGTACTTTTTTCCTTTCATAGAAAGTCTCCTAACAAGGATACTTTTATTGTACAAATACTAAGTTGTGTCCAAAACCTTACGAGTTTTTTTCATCTTTGACCTCCTTCTTGGACACTTGGCTCATGTATTCTGTAGGAAGCTGAAGACACTAGATTGCCGGTCGGGCGAGGGCGAGGGCGAGGGCGGGGGCGAGGCAGAGAGCGGCGCGGGTGGCGGGAGTGGGGGCGGGGGCGAGAGCCGGGGCACGCTGCGCGCGCGGCTTGCGGACGCGGAGAGGCTGGTGCGGCGGCTGCGCGGCGACGCCGAGCGCCAGCGCAGAGAGGTACACGCCGGCGCAGCGGCCGCGGCGGCCCCGGGCGGCGCGGTCACGAACCTCTTGTTCGACGGCGCCGCCGCCCGACACGCACACGTACGTCGCACGCCGCAAACACGCGTATACCTCGCGCTCTACCGGCAACACGAAGCGCTGTGTAGTGCTACGTTATATATAGTGCTACGCCGGTCTTACGCAGCGCTAAACCACATTTTAATTGTTGTGTTATGTTGCAATATAACACATCTAGCGCTACGAGACGCTATGTAACGCTACATCACAACTATTGCTAAGTTTTAATACATCACATCTAATGCTACGTGCAGTATTGTAGCGCTACGACACATCTCTTGTATTGAGGCATTACGTAGCACTTCATGTCATATGCTACGAATCACTACGCAACATTAATAAATAGAATTAAATTATGACACTTTGAGCTATTTTGCTCCCTAATTTTCATCTTATTAATGATATAATTGAACGCTACAATGTGATGTAGCGTTCGCAGCGCAGTGCTACACGTCGCTACACAGCGCTTTATGACTGTGTATGATTGCGCTAATTGTCATAAAACGCTAATGTACAAAACAAATAATGTGTGTCATTAACAAAGCTAGACAAAGAAATGATTTTATATAACTCTATAGTACTAAATGTAATAATAAAAATTAGGGAATTCTTTTAACATACGTTTTGTTAATTTTCAATTACACAATATTTATGTACTCAATATCAAAAATTATGTATGTACATATCTATATTAACTTCATTATCTTGGCACACATAAAAACGAATACAAAAGTACATATATGAGTCATACAGCGCAATAACTATATACTATATATTTGCACTATTTACTATATAAAGACTAAATATTATTGGCGGATTGCGACGGACGATCGTATTTATAACATTTTAATAGTTTTATTTTATAACACTGTATGTATTTATTTTTTAGTATTATTGTACTTTCCATGCAACCATATCCTACATATCAGCCTTATATTATATATCTAAAACTCGCACTATCTATTAGTAATGAGTAGTATGTTTTTAAACTTTGTTACTATATAAATAGTTTAAAATCCGAATACTTACTACCTTTAAGTGTGTTGATGCCCTTATAATGTTCCTCAGTAGTCTTATTGTGTTTCTGTTACATAATTCTCCGACGTAGTGTGTAGGTACCCTTACTGTGAACCTAACATTCTTGGCATATATAGCTGTCTCTTTTTTTCCAAAGACGATAAGAGAGATGACATGATTGATATTGTTTCGACAGTCAAAACACATAGTTATATTGACTTACAGCTGCAATGTATGAAGAACTCACTCCAGGCGACCGTGCGCGCCGGCGCCTTCGATAGTTTCGGCTTCCAGAACACTTACGCCTTCCCTCCCATGCAGGACTACTGGGTTGACACATTAGCTGAGTGAGTTGGAACATAGTACTACGAAACTACGAAATAATTGCGGAAGTCCTTGAGTGGCGGCCGCGGGAGTGCACTGGATGCGGTCGGCACGGGACCGGGAATTGTGGCAATCGAAGGGGGAGGCCTACGTCCAGCAGTGGACAAATTTAGGCTGTTTAAGATGACTACAAAATTATAGAGCGGTTTAGTGTTAAAATAAATATATACTTCTTCCCAAGACTCGCGCAATGTATTTATGTATGTTGGTTTGTTTGTAAATTCTTTGTGATCGTCTGTAGCCTAAATGATTGATTCATTGTTGACGAGTGAGGTGTAATTTGCTTCCTAATTTAACGCAATGATTCAGAGGGATTAGCTAAAATTATACAAAATAAAAGTGGCATAATCTTATAAGAAATGTTTTTGAATACAGAGAGGTGCCGCGCGGGGGACGACGGCGTCCCCTGGCTCTACCGGAGCTGGTGCCACATAGAGCTACTATATTTGCCAATCGTAAGTATATAAACATACTAAAACCGATATACAGTCTCAAAGATTGTCTTGGTTACTTTAAGCCAGATATATGTCTTCAAAGATCTTGGCGGCTTAAAGTCATCGACGCATCTCGCAATACCCTACCCCCGCGTCCCGCTGCGCCTCAAATTTTGATGTGCGACTCACGCGAATTTAGAGCCGCTAAGATATTTGAAAACTTTTATACCTTTTACAAGCTTGACCAAATCTTAGACACAACTTATAAATAACGTTTAAATATTTTAATCTTATTGGCATATTGTCAATTTATAAAAGCAATTCTTTGTAATATTATTTATTAATAATTTCGTTGCCACAGATTTGTCTGACGACAACTCATATATGAAAAAGTTGGCATGTACGTTAGTACGATGATATGAAATTGTGATTAGTATAAAGTATTATGTAACTATCCAGCTCATGCACGCGGGAGAAGTTACGGATATGAGAAGAGCAAAAAAACGTCAGTGACCAACGGCGATACTGTTAATGGGAAGCCGGCTGAAGAACATCATGGTGAGTTATAAAAACATCGCAATATACGAACACACATAAATTACACATTTTTTTTTATTCACAACGATCTGTTAAAGTCATTTTTTTATTCTTACATTATGTAGAATATAAAATCAATAAAATACTTAAATTATTCAAAGTTTCGTGAGACATTATACTAAACTGATATATAAACACGGCTGAACACTCACGTAATAATACCAGTACCACTCATCCTGATGAAGGGCCCCCGATGGGCTCCAAACTAGTCGGTGCCGCCACCGGACGTATATACGTGAGTGTTTAGCCGTGTTTATATATCAGTTTAATAAAAATACTATTTAAAAAACTTGCAACATATTTTTTAATTTTTGAACTCTTTGTTGCCAAATGGTTAAGTTTGATTAGATTAACATGAGAGGTAAAAGCTACATAGAGGTAGACGTCATGATATGATAACCGAGAGTACGCATAGGAAGAGGAAATATTCTGTTTCTGTACATCTCTGACTCTACATTTGCGGATGTCTATGGGCAGTCGCTTCGCCATTTCCACAGATATAATTGGCCGTTTTCGCCACCTTATAATATAAAAAAACACATTCTCAATAGTTTATGGAGTCTGTTTGGATATTACACTGTATTTTTATTTTAATGCACTTTAGATTTTATTTTATTTTTAAAATAGTGTGTGCAAGCTATCCTGTTATATGTGTAGTTGAAATAAGGTAATTGTCAGAGTTATTCCTTAAACATAAATTGAATTTATCAAAATTATAGACATGTCAAATTGTACGTGTTATAGCAATCATATTTTCATTGTTAGGAGCAAATTTATTTGTTTATTTCAGAACAGACCCGATTAAAAGAGTTAAGCACTGACAATTTATCGAAAAAGAATGATAAAAAAGTGGACTCTATGGTTACGTATCCAGAGTTGAAAATTGTGGTTACAAAAATAATACCACACGGAAAGGGTGAGGCTACAATAAGCTTGTATATTCATCCCCCACTGGTAAACTGTGGGAAGTAGCAAATATCAGCTTTAATCAAACTCACCCAAGAAATAATATTAACAACGAAAATAATCATTCCTTTGGCAAATACCTTTTAACTAAATTAGTCTTTATGCTTTTTAATTTAACAATGTGTGTGTTTATTTTTGGTACTAAAAGAATTTGGATAATAAGAATCGTTACACATTTCAGTATTAAAAATTAATAGCTTCGCATATGGCAACACATAAGATGCCTGGTTTACATGATGCCAGTACACTAAGACAGTAGCGGTCAAAATCAGCGCTGGCATAAAACTGATATAACAAACATTAACTGGCGCCATAACTCACTGCATTGACTGACTCCCATACAGTCCATGCAAGAGCTACTGCACTGGTATAGTATAAACCAGACATTAAACGTAAAAAACTTTACTTTGACACTTGATTTAACAGCCTTACATGCTTATAAGTGATAAGGAAATAAGAGATTATTTTAAATTCGTCTAAACTAAAGGCCTACAAGGTCTGATAAAATCCTAGAAATACGCTGTTCTTTGCTTTCTACATTCAAGTATCTTTTGTATATAACGACATCGCATGCCTAGTGTAGCTTAATGCTTTATGAATTAACAAATTTAAAACTACAAAATATGGTTATGTCTTCATAGTTAGTGTGTATTGGTATTACATTGATATCAGGTCGATGCGATTTGCAGTGAACGTGACGGGTGCGGGTGGTGCGGGGGGTGCGGGTCCCGCAGGGGAGGCGCGCCCCCGCCCGCGCCGCCACCACCGCAAGCACGCCACAGACCACACGTAACCTATCATACCTACCAAACTATATGTCTCAATTATCCATGACACTGACCTCTGTATTCCATGGGATAGGCTGTAAGCCGTGGTATTTTGTGCCTATTTGATTATCGCCATTTTGGCGATGACGGTAGCGATGTTGGAAACTCGAACTAATTGGAGGAAGAATTAGCCGATAATAACTTCAGTTGGCGCTTTAAATTCTGAATTAAGAAAAGCTGTCATTTCTAAGTACTGACTATGTAGCGGATATCTAGAGGTCAGTGATCTATGACGATAGACCAATGTAAAACACCACGTCTTTGAATTAGTACCATTTTAATTTATCGTGTTTTCATAGGTGCATTTACGTAGTCTAAAATAGACAATGTTGTGTGCGTAAAGCACTTAACAATTGCAATGATTTATCGATTATTTTGCTCAACAGAATTTGTTTTGATTACTATTGTTGCACATATTACCGTTGACTTTTTTTTGACGTTACAATGACAATTATTTTCCCGCGCTGTCAAACAGATAATGACATTACGATCAAAGACTATGTATTGTTTTTTATTTGTTGTTAATTATTGTTAATCTGCGCTTTGTGCCGTTCATTTTTGTTTCTTATTTTAAATAAGAAATTTAAAAAGATGGAAATGGTGACATAAAATGGTAAGTTGTATTTGGAGATCATAGACATACAGTGAAACAAAAGCGAAACGCACACACAAATGTCGTTAGTTCTCGAAAGTTTAAAAATTACTTATGATATGTCAATTGTATAATAGAAAAAAAGTTTCAAAATAATAGATGATGTATATGAAAAAAATCTGATATCAAATTTTGTAGGAATCATTTGGAATAATAAGAGTAATCGTTTATCACGCATATGCCTTCCCTTTCCACCCATTTTTAAATGTATATTCGATAATTATTTAATGTGCTCAATATTATATTTTTTCCTTTATAATAGTATGATAATCATTCCAAAATTAACTATTTACTGCTGCAGGAATTCCACAAAACACGATATTCCATCTCCACGAAATATGAAAGTTGTGAAAAGTATGATGTAAGACAGGATTTTGACTGCTGGACCATCAGAAAACTAATTGTCATCGGTTTCACTTCAGAGAGAATGAAAGAGATGGCAATATGTTTCGGCATTCAAAACCGACGGTTATAATTGCGCGCGGAAATCTTTTAACATTGATTAAAAACATCTTGTTCACATAAGCGGCATGACATTTTAATGTACAAGTTTCTAGTCATTTAAAAACCATAGAGTAACAAAGATTATGTAATTAAAATATGTTAAACTTGGTACATTTCTTACAAATAATATTAATCCAAGTTCATGTATCCATTTTAACTGTAAAATACTATTTTTATTCTATAAAAAGAACTTTCTCTATGTGACATTGCACTGTTTCTCATAACTTTAATATAATCATTCCAATTTATTATTTTTTAATTGATAGAAAGTTTCGAGAACGCGTTTTTGTGCCGCTAGTGTGAAAATTAGTCCTTAGCTACATTTATGAGAGTGATTGTAAACCTTCGAAACGCTATATTTGTAGCCTTATCCATATTAATCTAATTAATAAATTATATAACTATAATTATTGATATATTAATATATTTATTGCGATTCTATTCGTGTTTTCTTTCAACCTATCCTTTAGTATAAACATTACTACTCTTCAATCACTAATTATAATAAATACCTTGAAGAATATTAATATGAAAAAGATATAATATGGGTAATGAATTAAAACAGGAGATCATTTTATTACTTTATAGACTAGATAAATGTTTGAAAAAGTCATTACTAGGGCTACAGTTGTACAAATTTCCTAACAACCATAATAATGACTCATTAACTGAACCACTGTCTTTGTTCAAAACTTCCAAAAGAACTTCTCCTAGATTATTTTCTAAGAAATAATTCAATATAATATCATACACTTCAATGTTCATATTTGCTAATGTTCTTACAGCATATAATAATTCACAATCACATTGACTTCGTACACAATTTTCCGAATGAATTTTGACAGTTCGTTTCAGTGTCGCCAACATTTTGTCTATTAATTCCTCTGGCATATTGTCTTTGAAATCCACATGACAGGAGAGTGTAAATGACAGTCGACTTGTGGTTGCATTGACTTCCAACTTTGACAGAGCTATTAATACTTTTTGTAGGTATTCTGGCCTGAAAATATTGTTTTTTTTTAATTGGTTAAAAGCAACATATGACGACCTACTTAATAGTAATTTTTGTTTTATTTAGCAAACTATAATAAAAACTTTGTCTATGGGTAATGGTCACTTTGCTATTTCACTGATTTCAGGTGGCCGATCGCTAGTTTGCCACCTTATGATATAAAAAAAAACTTACTTGAAATCATCCTCCATTTGATAAGCAAAGTGTAACAAGGCATAAACTGCTGCATCTTGTATATTTTCATTGTGTATCTGCAGCATATTGCAGAGTTTGGAAACTGCGCCTTGTGCAACAAGTATATCACAGACTTTAGGCCCTGACCCAGCCAAGTTGCCTAAAGTCCATGCACAGGTCATCTGAAAAGTGACTACTAATATTATAAATGCGGATTTTTAGATGGTTTGATGAATGTTTGTTTGAAGGTATCTCCAAAATGGCTGTATGGATCTTGCCAAAATTTGTCATAGATGTTGAACATAGTCTAGAGGAACATATAGTCGACAGCTAATGTTATAAAAAATCATAGGAATTTTTATCCAAATTAATATTGTGAAAAAACTAATGCCATCTGTTGCAATTAAAATTAATTGAAATATCAAAAAACTTTTATGCTATCATCAGGTGTTTGAAATATTAATATTATAAACATTTCATAATATGGAGTTCTATAATTTTGTGGAGAAGTCTAGTGCAAAAATATAACATAAGTATATTTTTTATATTAGTATAAATTTGGTAACTATTTTCAATTTGAATCTATGCTTACCGCTAACTCAGTTATTGGATTATCAAGCAGTACAGTAAGGTACGGCCCTGCTGCTTTAGCTATAGCTGTACAGGCTCTGGAATCACCGAGTGCCAGGTTACAGCAGCACCCTGCCGCAGCACATTGCTTTGATACATTATTACCTGAAAATTAAATGTTTTGTAACTTACTTGGTTTTATTCACCAAAATATAGATAAAAATCTCTTTTTACTCACCTGTTAATTCCCTTACTAACCCACGCAGAGCTCCATAACATTTTAAAACAACTTCAATATTCTTTTCATCATCTATCAATACATTTTTAAGTATTAGAAGATTCTCTACAGTTACATGGGACTTTGATTTTAAATTTTGTACAATGGACGAAATATTTTCTGGTGATAATCTGAAATAAGAAATTAAGTAATTTCAACAATTTGTAATTTTTTCCCCTTATAACGTTAATAAATAGTACACTCAATACAGAAGAGTGGACAAAAAATATTTTTTATGTTAATAAGATTCTGGTATACCATACTTATCTTTCATGCACACATTTACTCGTACATCATGTCTCGAGTAATAGTTGTTTATAATACAAAGTATGAAACCCATTCACCCCATTACTTATAGATTATCCTAATAAACCTAGCCCAAAAAATATATAACTATTTTATCTAGGGCAGATAATAAACAGGAAAGAGATATAAATAAATTTTCATACGATATAATACCTCAAATCTTTTATAGAACGTTGAAGATCACTCACTTCATTTCTATGAGATCGTCGGTTTAATTTTAAGATCTCTCTTGTAGATTCCCTTATATAATTTACAGGAGCGTCGTCCATAATTGTAATTTTATTTTAGAAGACTTGAGCTTGGTAAAATTATAAAACTCTCCCGTTTTCTTTTAAATTATGATATACGAACTGAAATCAAAACAAATCTGACAAGTGACATTTTTTGCAAAGAGTATATAAAAGATTTTATTTTTTTATCAAAGAGTATGTAACTGCTTCGTAGATTTTTCACTTTTTAACCAAATTCTGGTGTTGTCTGTATAAAAAATATTTGGTAGTGGTATTCATATATTATATTGTTAGCCGTTGCGTCGTACTGTTGAAAAGAATCGTATCATCCCCGACCAATGGCAAGAGCATACCAATGATGCCACCTCTTTTGTAGATAAAATCCTACCGTTCTGCCACCCGTACGGTGTTACCATCTAATAATATTATATACTCTTTAGTGGTATTTCAATTGGTCCTCTACTAAGTAATTTCAAATCACTTTTATGCCTTATGGAATTAACGCAAGATTAGAGACAATTAACGTTGGAAAAGTTTAAAATACTTGTTTTCATTTTAAATGGCATTAATTCCTTAGATGTATTGACTATTATTGTATTGTTATTAATAAATGCAACGTTCAATGCGTTACCGTTATCGAGATTATCATGTAAGGAGTAAATGGTACATGTCAAATAGATTTTTATTTTATCTATCTTCCAGCTGAATTGATGGTCAATTACATTGCACAAAAAAATCGCTGCGGAAGTTGGATGGAGGTTTCCATTGAATAATAAGTAATTGAATTTAAAAAATACAAAGAACAAGACCCTTGGACTCGAAATCCCTAGTAAATTATTTCAATATCTAATGAATTCTCTTCCGTCTTATTACGGGTAATATAATGAATCAAAAATAGTCTTTGGCACTCTTCAACAGACAGGTCGAATAAATAAAATTTGTTTATAAAAAAATAAACGCTCGTTCGAAGGGCAAAAGAAAAAAAAAACGATTAATTACTTTAAGTAACCAATCACGATGCGAAGGCGAGGCACATTTAGCGCCAATAAATTACAACCTGCAAAAACAATGAAAAACTATAATTAACAACTAGATAAATATAAAAGTTAATATTTTCCAGTTTCGCAAGTAATTAAGATAAAATATCTACAAGCATCAGCAAAAACTAGAGACATTATTAAAAATAAATTACTAAATAATATGGTTATGTAAATTGTTATTGTTTGAATAAATTACAGACCAAAAATAATTTATTACTCGCTATTGCTGTTTTTTTAACACTGTAGGTACAAGACGAATGAACTCGGACTTTCATCAGAATAATTTCCAATTGTCGATAACTATCAACTCAATTTTTTTACTGCAACTAGTGGTCGCCCGCAACTCCGTGCGCGTGGAATTAGAATAAAAACATAATTAGTAGCCTATATGTTCTTCCACAGTATGTATATATATTTTATTGTGATTCGTTCAGCCATTATGGACTTATTGTCAATAAAACAATTATATTTAGGTTATATTATTATATTTGCTTTATAAGCTATTATTTCAAACAGGTTATTATAACAATAGGTTCAGAAAAAAAAATTACGTCACGTCCGCCTCGCTCTCAATACATAATATAATAATTGTAATTGCTTGTATATCTATTTTATTTTATATATTCGAATAAATTACTACGTAATATAATAATTTAAACCCCCTTTTTCGATTGAAAACCTAAAGTAAGCAGGTGCTAGTCTAATTCATACATTGTGAAAATTACTTTTGATTTTTTAATTATTATGTTAATTATGACATAAAGTGGACTAATATTTTAATATAAGGCTAATTAGTGTTATACAATAATAGTTAAAAGTTATGTGAGAAATAATATTCCAGTAAATTTTTTTTGGAATTTTTACGTAAAATGCAGTTCGTCTATTCGATCGAGGAGGTCACTAACCTTTAGTAACGATGTGTCATTTGTATACTATCAGGTATATTGTTATCTCTATTTTTTCAAAGATAATGTGAGAGACGCCAATATTTCACTGCAATCAAAACCCACAGTCAGGCGGTTGATTAAAATGGCGTCTATTAGTTTTTGAACATAGAATTACAAACTTTGAGATGCTTCTATGAGAAATTATTATTTTAGGTTATGCCACACATAGACACTAAAGTTAATATAATATTTTAAGTTAGTAATAACATAAAATATTGTTTATTCACTTTAGCATGAAATGTCTTATAATGCAGCATTACTAAAATATTCAAAAACATAAAAAACTTTGTACTAACATATGTTTATGTCAAATATAAAATGTTTAAAGAAAGCAGTTAATCTTTCTTAACATATTACAAGTCAATTTTTTAGAAATAAAACTAGGAATTTTCTGAAAAAAAAAACCATATAAAACCACTTACAAAATTTAAAGTTATAACTTGGCGCAATAAAAAAAAACAAAATTTCATGCTGAAGTTTGCAATACTACTATTACCTCGTATCTATTTCGTTCTTAAATCTATTTTTAGTTTAAGACTAATTTTGTGGAAGCAGAAATTTGTGAATAAATTATTTGTAGCTGTTGCGTTATCTATTAACTAAATAGGAATAAATAAAATTACACTTAAAACTACATTTATAGTCGTTACATATCGACTCATCGTGCTAATTTGCTAACTAATTCCATCATCACAATTTATCACAACATTGTAACAAGCCTAAGCGTACAGTTAGTACATTTCTAAGAAATCTTCAATTATATTAACTATATTTTCTGGTGAATTTAATTGTACATGATGTGTACCTTCCACTTCTATATAAGTTACGTCAGTTGTCTCTTTAAGTTTGTCAACAACCGCCATGTAATAATCCAATCTCTCCCAATTCTGTCCAGGAATCGCCCTGATATTAAGTACTCTGCATTTTACTTTAGCAGCATAAGCTAATGCTGTTTCTAAAGACATCATTGCTAGAACAGACACTTTGAGTCTCGGATCCCTTTTAAAATGGTATCCATTCTTTTTCAAATGTGCCGGCGTCGGAGCCATGCCCCTCTTCATCAGAACTTTGCAATTCTCCCTTGACACTGACCCTTTGTATGCATCAACTACTATATCGATCATCTCTTCATAATCGTAGCAAGGTATCTTATTTTCAGATAACGTCTCATATTCTAGAATCTTATCAACAGACCAGCCAGTCGCTTTAACCATGTTTTCTGGCACTCTTACAGCAGGACTGGCAATATCTATACAAATAATGCTATCCACATCATCCGGGAATGAGGCCGCGTACATGAAACTTAATGCGCCACCTAGAGAATGTCCCATTAGACTGATTTTACTCCATTTAAAGTGTTTAACTATCCTTCTTAGTAACGCTACCCCATCCCAGAATATGTAGTAGAGCATTCCGGTCGGATAGTGTGAGGAGAGGCCGTGTCCGGGGAGATCAAGACACAGGACGGAGGTTGACGTTGGCAGTAGTGGGATAAGATTATCCCAGGTCCCTGCGTTGTCTTGCCAGCCGTGGATAGCGATCAGTGGCTGCTTGTTCCTAGGGCCCCACCATCGTCCAGCGACGTGACCCCATGGTACTGGGATTTCTATTTCTTCAACTTGAACACCAGCAGGTAGCTCTGAAAAAGAATGCTTGGATTACATATTTTGACTTGTATTTAATCAAAATTGTGAGTATCACTACTACACAAGGACTTTATCACTTCATATTATGTGTACCCTATACTATCTTTTAATATTATATCGAATCGTACAACGCGGATGCAATACATTTCCTAGATATGATAATAAGTTCGATAAAACATTGTATATTAATATTTGTTATCAGCAATTAATATAAAAATCTTTATAGTTCTTATCCTGTATAAATTAGCAAAAACTATCATGAAACATAAAAACTCAGATTATTTAATATATTATAAGTTTTTTATATAACATGAAAAGAATTTATATAACAATTAATGATACGATAAGCCGATAAAACTATTACCAGAAGCCGTAATCTGTTGATAGTTGATTGATTGAAGGTTAAAATAGAATTAAATTGGCGCTATAGATAATCGACATATAAAAATGTTTGATGTCGCTTCTATTAATAACATAGAAATCTGTGCGCCTATCACGAAGATAATAGCTTTCGTATCATCATCATCTCACTATACGTCCCCACTAAGGGGCTCAGGGCTTGCACTATGCTAGAGGTGACTACATAGTCAACCATGCTGGCACAAGGTCGGTTGACTTCACACATATCTTTGAATTTCTTCTCAGACATGTGCAGGTTGCATCACGATGTTTTCCTTAGCTTACCGTAAGATCATTGGATAAATGTATAATACATATGTAGAAAATCGAAACACACATTGGTACATGTCGGTATTCGAACTTGGAACATGCAGATTGTAAGTCAAGTGCTTAACAACTGAGCCACCGACGCTCGTATCATCATCGACAATTATGTCAAGATTAGTATGAGTTGTACTTTGAGCCCGATAGGCGTTACATAAATTTACGATTACGATACGATGACGATTGTCACAAATATTCGTGTTAGGCCCACTAATCAGCAGACGACATAGTGTATGCCAATCAGCTGTCTTACGCGTGTAGTTCCAATTTTTGCCACATTATGCGCAAGTCGGTCATACGTTAACTAAATTTTAATATTTGCTTGTTTACTGACCTTGATAAGACAATGACGGAAGTTCATTTATAGAAATAAAAAGTCTCCAAGGTGGACACGATTTGGTAACTGATTAAATATTTTCTTTTGTGTAATCTTACTATATTACTAATATTAAAATTGGAAATATTTAGATGAATGGATGGAGATTGAAGATATCTCCAGAACGACTACATGGATCTGGCTGATTTGCCATAGATGTAGAACATAACCTGGAAGAACACATAGGCTACTAAATATATTTTTTGAATTCCCCGCGAATGGAGTCGCGAGCGATAGCTAGTTTGAATATAATACAGCCTGAGTGTCAAATGTTTGTTTCACTTTACTAATAAAAATTAGGAAAAAATTAAATACTATTAAATTAATTTTGATATTTGAATTAAATTATTTAATTGGAATTGATTTTAATATAATATTACCATGCATATGAAAAAAATCGTTCAGTTTTTGTTTGTGTTATTTGTTTTTATTACCAATTTTATTCATCATTTGTATGTTTTGATGTAAATCCATTTTTTTTCATTTTTTTTTAAATAAAGTCAATCATCTTTGCGATGACAGAGACCTTCCGTCTATTATTGATTGCTACATGACCACTACTTCGAATGTGTCGAATAGGCTGAGTGCCTTGACATGTTGCGCAGATATCAAGGCAAAGATTAACTAAAAACCCAAATTTTTAGCAATTGTAGAAACTAATAAAACTAATCTACATACTATTTTTAGAACACCAAAGTAAGGATCTTTCTTACAAAATTGTATGCTAATTGCTTATCAGATTGACAAGCATTTGTAGGAACTGTAAATTTCAAATATAAAATTTTACGAACACTATCTCTATCTCTTTGCCTAAGTGGATGAGTGGGATGGCATTATTAACACACGAATGATTAAGTAGAAAAGTGAGTGAAGTAGACAGAGATAATTCGTATAAGCATTTCTGCAAATGTACTGATAACATAAAACCGGTCCGTCACTTTGTAAAACTAACTGTGAACGAATTAGTTTTTATAGTCGCAACACATGTAAAAACATATTACCAACATTATAATAAAAGTATGTTTTTGTCTATTAGTTTGGTAGGTCTATTCGTCAGCATTACATTAAATATAGAGCCACAAATTTTTCCGTAATAACTTACAAACATGGTGTTTTAAACATGGACACACTAATAAACGAAATAATCTAATACTGCGCAATATCACTCGACCGTACTAAACTAGTGAAAGTAGGTACTAGACTGGCCTTTCTCTGCCATTAATTCTCATTAAAAAAAATGATGACGCTCTTAATTTCGCTAATAAAATCGCAATTTAAAATCTCTAAATAGGCCAATCTGGAATTTTTAATACAATTAGCTTTTTATCGTTTTTAACACAATTTTTCCAACCAATCTAAATGATAATAGAAATCGGAAATCACCTGAGTAAATACAATCGTCCGATATAACGATAGCAAGAAACAAACGTTAATTTGAACTTTGATCTCGACACGGCCGGGCTTTACGTCGCATGATATCGATAAATTATAGATGGCACTGTTCCGTCGCATGACATGAATATAACACATACAAATGCACTATTAATTAAATTAAAGATTCAACAAAGGAGAAATTGAATAGCTAAATACTTTTTTGTATTTGTTTAGTATTTTTTTTTATATTTTAAAGCGGTCAACGAGCAAACGGCCACCTGAAATCTAGAATAGCAAAGCGACCATTGCCCATAGACATTTGCAATTGCATGCATTGCCTACCTTTAATCAATAGATGAGGGGATGCACTGAGATAATATTTTCCCATTCCATGCATCCTCTCATCCGGAAAATCCTCTTCCACTTCCAATTCTTGTGAACTTATTTATTTTTTGAAGAATTTAGTGGTCATATTAAATGTAGTAACCAACTCGATTGATTGCCAATGTATGTAGTATAATTACAAAAAATAGTGATTTGCTAAACATCTTAAAGGCGAAATAAGGGGTAACCGAGGAACATATACATAGAGATAGCAATAAAAGATAATCTCTACTTATCCCTTCGGTAAACAATTGTTTATGTTAACTTATGTTATTCCTAACCGATGATTAATGCAAATGATTGAATGTTTTTGTAACTTCCACGCAATGAACTTTGACATTTCATTTCTTTTATTTTAGTTTACACTTCCGGGGGTTCAAGCAATAAATTGATGAACTCTTAATTCTACAGTGTGTCATCATGTCACATTATTAGGTTCATCATATTGATTTATTCCGTTATTAAATATAATTAAGCAATAACTTGTCAATAGAATCTTTTTACAATCTGTCAATATATCAAAATTTGTCTCAAAATTACAAAATTCAATTTAATTTACATGCAGTTGCATATTGAGGTTTATTGAATACACACAATATGAAAAAAAAAATGGCTAGCCATGAGACTAAGATAAAATATTCCGTATTACACATATAGTTTGGTTGAGTGATAAATTATATATTATATTTTAATCTTTATAGTTTCAAAATATAATGAATTTCATCATTCACATACAGTGAATCTTCTAATTAAAAAAATAAAATAGAATGAAAGTGGCAATAAAAGCCTGTGAATATTTGTAATTGATAACAAATAAATATGATTGGATTCGATAAAAAGATAAAATTACCTGGTTCGATATTATGTCCATTAGATTTGTCTTGACTCATTTTCAATTCCGGATATTTAACACTTAATTAATATATTTAAGAAGTAGTTAACGGCGATTATCTAGCTATGAAAACTTATTATTAATTAATTAAATAGAGTCCACAAGATTAATGCTAAATGATGTCCGCATAAAACACTTCGTAAGTTCACCACGTTTTTATCACAAGGAAGATTTAATCAATAAGGTGCTAAATTCGTCCAATGTATGACGCTAATCTACATCCAAGAAAATGCGCAAACAACCGCATCGGCAGACAGAACGATCGTGTAAAACGAATAAAAAAGAACAAGGACCAAGTAGCAACTGACAGTGACAGCTAACTGACATTTACGAATAAATGATAAAATGATTATAGGTAATTAATGATAAAGAAATGAATCATTGAAATAATAAAGAAAAATTCCATTCACTCACATTGATAAACACAGATTATACAGAATAAACACCAAAAAATCACCTTTACCTATTTTACTTTTTACTTACTTTAACTTTATAAATATAGCTTGTTAGGCTTGTTACTCATGACACAAACGAATTTGATTTTATTGAAAAATTTCTTTAAAGTTCGAAATGACGTGACCACTATCTTTTATATTCTGTGTTGGTGTATAATCTGTTCTGTCATAACACAACAAGACCAAAATCATCCTTTTGAGAACAGAGTCGAGAGAAAAGTAAGATTTTAGACAAGTAAGCAAGATACTGAAAACCGCTACGTTGACAAAGTTTGTTTTATAATGGCAGAGAAGAGGAAAACTAAAAAGCGAAAAGAGGTATGGAATTTTACAGTATTTTCTTAATATCTTTAATTATACTAAATTAATGTTCGATAAAAATTAATTGATACACTTCAGTAGGCAATATTACAATTCTTCAAATAAAGTTAATTCGTTGGGTCTGGCTGAATGCCTAAATTCGGTGTGAATTTTCAGTATACGTCGTGAAAAACCATTGTGCGTATGAATATGAAAATGACGCAGTTATTTTCCTTTTTTGTCTATTACGATGTACTTTAAAACGTGTTATTTTTGTCCTGTTTTAGATTTTTACGAATAATATGATACTAGGAATTAATTTAAAATAGCTTAAATATTGATTTGTTTTAAAAACAAAGAATAAAATCATTTATTTATTTTAATTATTTTAGACAACAAAATAGTAGAAACTTATGTTTATTTTTGTTTGGTTTCAGAAAAGAAAGGTTTGATTTGATTTTATTTTTCACTTAGTAGTTTTGTGTACAGTGAGCCACAAAGGCTGCACTAGTATGTGATATATATTTACACTTGGTTTACAGTAGTGTAGAGGGGTTATAACAATATTTAATTTCTTTCCTTTCTTCACTTATATTCTTATGGTAACTATAATTTAGTTCAACTGATATCTATATGGTTAAATTTACATATTGAATACTATGTATTTGATTAAAGTTTGTTGACCTCCATAATGAACACATGTTCTTTTCTTGGAAGGACTAATTGTAGCCTTTTGTTTAGGTTTCACTATTTCATACTTTGACTATTAATATTGGTTTGCAAATGTAATGTTTCATGTACACTATCACTATACACAATACTTTAGCTGTGTTTCAAACTTTTGTCACTTTGTGTTTATTGTCTTCTATGTGTTTTCACATGACACCGCTTTACTTCACAGAAATTGCTAAAAAAATCTTAAGGGTTGATATCTTTGAAAATTGCACCATTTATACATTGATTGAAAGTTTAAAATCAAAAAACATTATTATATTCCTCACAATTCCTATTTATAGAGGAAACTAAGGCTTGATATCTATATGACTAAGTTCTTATATAAAGGTCTGTTTTAAATTGATTTAAAATAATCGAAGAATTAGAGAAAATACTTGACTTTTCTTTTGAAATTAAATTTTGACAAATTGATGTTCATTTATTGGATTAATGAAGTCAATTGATAATGCAATGATGTAATATCAAAAATCTCTGAACAATTAAAGTTGCATAGTATTATAGTACTATATGTGGTATAATGTCTTTTGTCTTTGTTGTGTCATGCACCTATTTCCTATGTCAGAGACAGTCATATTCTGATAGAGTGTACACCTTGGTGTTCCCGCTGCTCATTTGCCCACTTCTGTTATAAAAAAGTGAAGCAATAATGCACCATAATCGAAGGCCTATTTCAGTTTTATGACAAAGTATATTATTAACCAAGAGTGTTACTGCCAAAATATGCATTAAAAATTATGTTATCTTTTACGTTCTCATTGAAAAAACAAGTATTATGACAGTGGAAACTTACAGTAAGATTATTAAAACAAATCTACACTAGGCATAGCTTTGTGAAATCACCCGTAACCATCTTGTTTTATAAATAAACAATTTTATCTAAAATTTTTAAAACAAATACAAGAAAAGCAAGTATCCATAACCACCTAATGGACTGATCAAAGATAAGATAGTATTTGGAACCCTTTAAATGTTCAATTCCACTTAGCACAGTGGTAAGTTGTCGAGAGGTAAAGCCAAAAAGTATTTACGCAGGTAATGATGGTACAGGAAAAAAGAATCAGAGGATTTGCAAGTCCACAATTTAAGTCACTTCAACATAAAAATAAGTTAATTTTAAATTTTAAATTAACTAACTATTATTTGGTCCTTTTTTATGTTTAGTATTTATTTACCTATTTTAAAAATTATTTTTTTCACATATTCCATCTTTGTTCTTTTTTTGCTATTTTAGTCATATTTCGTGGTCCTAGGTTTAGTAAAAAGCATATTGTAAGTTTAGTCAGTTAAGATAAATAACTAAAGTTCTTTAGAGCTTAACCTTTAAACGCAAGGTCGAAAGGTAGCCGTTCTGCGCGACCTTTGAAAGGGCGCCGGTCAAATAACTCGCACAGTTGGCTTAAATATATTGGTAAATTTAAAAAGACAATGGGTTCATGGCTTTTTTCTTGACTTATGAATAGATAGATGGAATTGCATTATTTTTTTATATTAACACTTTTTAAGAGCACTAAGTATACTCTGGTCTTAAGCGCAACTCCAGCCACCATAGGTGTTAACACTTGTAATGCTGACTTGCCTGGCGAGTCCACTTTGGTAAGATTGATACCAGCGTACGTGTTTAAACAATCTTATGCTTATTTTGTCCCTATAAAAATTTGCCAATGACCTTATGTTTACTGTAAGTCTGAGCATTGTGTATAAAGTGGCCATTTAGAATGTGGAGTGTTGAAGACGTACGTCACAACTGCAGTTCGATAGCTGCGCTGAACGTGGCCGTGACCTCAATACGAGATGAACGTCATTAGCGCAGGAAGACGCGGAAATGCAGGGAATGAGATGTTTTTATTTTATATTTTCAACTAGTGACAATTAGCTTTTTTAAATATCAGCAGAGTTTTGTTAATTTGATAACATTTCTTGTACCATTCCAACTAAGCTTGTGCTAGGACATGATATACTTGTTCGGACCCCCAACTTCGTGATCGGAAGTCCATACTCTTAACCATTAGGCTATTGACGTCGACGCGTCAACTATGCGAGTCTCCTATTGGGCGAAATAAAAAAATAAAAAATCTTTAATTTATGGTCAACCATAAATTAATATTTTTCATCAAGCGTTATGTACTTCTTCTAAATTTTATCTGATTATCTTTTAAAGTTGTACGAAATTTTCGCTACGTTTTATTTATATTAAAAATGCGAATGTTTGGGTGTATATCCATACAAGCATCCGGTTGTTCGAAGGTATCTCCAGAGCTGCTTCACGTAACACGGTAAAATTTGTCATAGATGTAAAACAAAATCTGGAAGAACACGTAGGCTTCTAATTAAGTCTACTACTATTAACCACGCGGATGGCGTCGCGAGTGATACCTAATTTATTAATATAATGACATACGTGAAGCTATAAAAGATCGAAACGCATTTTTTTTAAAACGTCACAATTATGTAAAAAAAACACTTTTTAATACTTCTCTTAAATTGCAATTACGATATCGCGATCCGCAAAATTAAGTCGACCCTTCCTTAAAAGGCGTTTTTGGAGCACGTAATTCAATTTGTTTTTTTTTACTTGAAATGCAAATGCAAAAGGTACAAGGCATGCCGATAGTCTAAGTCATTCGATTGTGTCCCTAAGTAGGAGGTGGTCGTGGATAAGTAGATCTGGCACACTTTCACCTGCGCTCGCTCCGGACTCGGCATACGTGTGTCAATAGTGTGACAGTTAGGTGGTGTCAGGCATGGGGGAATTTGTAAGTTTAAATTATTTTATTAATTTCTTTATTTGCGCGTATGTGGATTCAGTTAAGAGATGTATGGAAGAATATATTGTACCAGTTCCGTAGAAACTAGGGTATAAATTTTAGGTTGTTGATAATTTTGTTTATATGTTTTACGTATGATTTATGTTATTTCGACTTTATTGTGATAGAATTTCGTAAAATTATAATATGTTTTAAATGTTTATTAGTTTAACATACAATTGTCTATATCTTTATATATATATAATTCTTCTGTGAGTGTGTATGTCACTGAACTTCTCTCAAACGACTGGACCGATTTTGATGAAATTTTTTGTGTGTGTTCAAGGGGGTTCTGGGAATGGTTTAGATTCACAATTTTCATCAAATATTAACTTCATATTAATTTATTCAAATTAAAGACGTGTAGACAGGACAACGTCTGTCGGGTCCGCTAGTTAATATTATAAATTACTAGATTATTAATTCTGCGTCAACGTAGATGCGGGTAACTGCTAGTTATTTATGTGGCCGTTTTATTTGTCTGATGGTTTATGAGACTAAAATCTCTATATAAAACACCAGCTGTCGCCGGCGACTCCGTCCGCGTGAATATCTAAAAAAACTGAATTAGTGGTAGCCCACCCACCCATCCATCCATCAACATCACACACATCTAAATATGCGCATTTATAATATTAGTAAGTTAAATAAAAAAACAGCTCTTCAAGGCACAAATTCGAAAAAAATGAACAAATAGTATCCTATGTCCGTCTCTTTGCTCTAAGCTACCTTCTAACCAATTTCAGCCATATCGGTAAAGCCGTTCTTAAGTTATAAATAGTGTAACTAACGCGACTTTCTTTTATATATATAGATATCGACATCCCTGTCGTTATCATTGAAGAAACAGAGACAACAATATTAAACGAGGATTTTTGTCTAGGTAAAAGCGCTATAATCTTACGGGGAAAATACGAATCGAAAACTACAGTCTAGAAAATCAATTAAGATGTTTTGGCTACAAAAGCTCACAATATTGGAATCATAGACGGTAAATCTGCCGATCATAATCAAATATTGTGTGGTAGGGCTCAGACAAAAGGGTCAATTGCACTCTGAAACACATCCATTATTTTCTCTTCATACCGACTAGACTAAAGCGCTTTTAGTTCTGGGCAATATGAAAGTTTCTGAATTGTATCGAAAACTTAAAAAAAGGCAATTCATGTGTCGTATTGCTTATCCACCCTTCACTAACATCTTTTTTATATTTTCTAAATTAGGCAAAATTATGTTGTCTAGTGGATTATTCTGCCTAGTAGCGAAAATAGTCTAAAATTTACATCAAACTTTGACTAGGACATAAGAACTTAATAACTGCACTAGCATGTATAGCTCAGACATCATAATATGTTAAATTTACGGTATAATTGTCAATTTCCACTGCCCTAAAACTTGTAGAAAAACATTTCTTATCTCTGTTTTATGCAATAATGAATGGGTTGACAAAAAGTTTTTATACAAGGATACCCATAGTTTATGATCTCTGGCATTACAATTTTTGTATGAAGATTTGTGAATATGTACCGAATTTATTGACCCTTACTTTCGGTACTAACAAATAAAAAGTAAATCTCATTAAGTATCTGCGAGGTCCTCAACCTTTTTTCGATCTTAATATACTAAACCTTTTACTCACGCGTATAAAAGCTAAGTTTATTTTGGGATTTTTATTGATTTAAAAATACACTTAACTTTTCGTATCAGGTCCTGAATTTACTTAAAAGGATAAGAATGACTAAATTATTTTTATTTATTCCTTCGAGTATCCGATTTTAAGTGGTCTTATCAAAAGTGTACCTCATAAGAATTATTTTGCTTTAGTAAATTACTTGAATTCCTAAATTAGATTGATTTTTACAAAAACATTTTTGTATTGCACGTCTACTATTATATCTTCTATATATATAAAAGAAAGTCGTGTTAATTACACTATTTATAACTCAAAAACGGCTTTACCGATATGACTGAAAATTGGTGAGGAAGTAGCTTAGAGCCAGGAGACGGACATAGGATACTATTTAATAATTTTTTTCGAATTTATGCCTTGAAGAGCTGCTTTTTATTTAACTTACTAATATTATAAATGCGAATGTTTAGATGGATAGATGGGTGATTGAAGATATCTCTAGAACGGCTGAACGGGTATCGATTAAATTAGGCATACGTAAAGACCATAGTCTGAAAGAACACATAAGCTACACTAATAAGTTTTTTTATATATCCACGCGGACAGAGTCGCGGGCGACAGCTAGTTTACAATATAAAAGTGTTATGACTGAAATCAATATTTGATCCTTGAGATCGGTTTAAACATTACATTAAATTATTTAGTAAGAAACGTGGTTTAAAAATTATTCGAGCGCCCACTAAACAATAGATCATTTTTGATTCGATATTGCGATCTTTAGATTCCTTAAATTTAAACCAAATCGATTGAAAAGTTGCATATAAAATACTCCAAAATGATTCAAGATCGAATATCGATTCCGGTCGTTATTATAGGGCGTCTTTAAAATCTGATACTAGTAATGAATTATAGTTATATAGCTCATCATAATAATTTCATGAAGTGCACGCGACAATGTTTGCTAAATAAATCTACGTTTAAACATCAATTAACCTAGTTTCTGTATAATTACTGTACTTGCAGTTTATATAGCCCTCTAGCCTTGCGATTTACTTGCGTAGAGCAGTATTTCCCAGTAATTTTATATTTCCTATTCGGAAATTACCATCAAATAATAATTTGATATCACGGTATTTGATTTCTACCAAAGAGTTGACATTCACATCCAACTTTTTTCTTATTGTTGAATCCCTTGTGGCCAGTGTTTTAACACATTTACTGCCACCGACTTGCTTGGAGAGTTCCATTTTTTACAAGCTGCCAAACCGTTGAGGCATGTAACGTGTTCATTATACTAAAGAATATTGCTCATCTTTGGAATCGAAGATTTTTAATCTATGAAGTAATGTAATCGGTTCAGAGATATAAAAGAAACAGACATTTTTATTAAATAATTTCTCTACTAAGATATACGGCAATTATGTAAGTTTTGGGTGAGAACATTAGCATGAAGCTGTCAATGTCAATGCCGTCTGGTCAAAACATTTTACATAAGATTATTTCTGAGCGTATTATAAACAGGATTGTTAAAGCAAAAGGAGGCAAAGACGCTATTTATGGAAAGCTAAATGAATCGCTGATGATGAAGGAAAGGAAAAGTCTTCCGTAACGAAGATATCTAAAATATGTTATCAGATTTATCTTCTATTAACACGTGCAATGCCACTACGGTTTTAGTTAAGTGAAATCATAACGCTAGTCGGTGGCATTGAACGTGTTAATTTAAAGTAAATCCCCGGGTACGCCGACTAATTCCAATAGCTATTGCTTCTGCAAAGATCCGTCAAAAACCATCTAAAACATAATTGAGTCGTACGAAGGTCCAAGAGTTCGTTTAAGGTCAATGACCTCATAATAAGTCCCTCGTAACGGAGATGTTTACAAATCGATAAGACGAAAAAAGTTACATCTCTTGATCTCATAAGAGTTGTAACTCTTGGATGAGTCGTAGTACGTTTGACTCTGTTTTTAAAACTAGCTCTATAAGATATCTTAATCTTCCAGGAGTTTGGTGAAGCGACTGAGTCGGAGAAGCCGACCAGCGAAGAATATGCGGTGGCCAAGTGGCTGAAGGCCAATGTGCCAACTAAAAAGACCAAGTTCTTGAACCATCATGTCGAATATTTTACAGGTAAGAACAAAGACGTATTTGGCTCTATAAGCAAATTATAAAGCCAAACACAATAAAATATAGTAAATTTCCACTGTCGTAAGACTTGTTGACGTATCTGTTTATACATTCTCTTGGTTATTTCAAAGAGAATGCGACGAATGCAAGTTTTATGACAATGGAAATCCACAATTAATGGTACACATTTTGAATTGAATTAAGGATTATTTGTTTATGTAGTTTTAGACATTTATTAGATAGAATCCTTTGGCGCGAATGGCGTGCTTTCGTTACAAAGTCAAATGTCAGAATGAATAGTGATGGGACATAAACGTCGACATTTTAGTAAGGCTAATGTTGCGCCAGTACACCGGCACAGAATCGGATTTTCTTCCTAACAGTAGATATCTTTTTTTCTGTATTTTTTGGAATCGAAGTAAAAATTTTTTTCTGAGATATTCGTTGATAAGCTTTTAATCTTATGTTACTTCTTACTGATATTATAAATGCGAATGTTTAGATGAATGGATGTTTGTTTGTGTAAATGTATCTCCAAAACAGCTGAACGGATCGCGATGAAATTTGGCATACATATAGAATATAGTCTGGAAGAACACATAGGCAACTAATTATGTATTTTTTAATTCCGCGTGGACGGAGTCGCGGGCGACATAGCATAATATACTTCTAAATCTGTGTATTAAGAGTTTAGATAAAATATGTTTGTTGTATTGTTCAATTTATTTCGCTCCAAAAAGCGTCCAAGATGTTTGTTTAAATAGAATCTCATTTGATATGCATACAATGTTTATAGCACTTTGTAAAATCCATGTTTATAAATATAACGCATTAGAAAATGTAATCTTAAATTGTTTACTTTTGTTTTTATGTTTAAAGTCGCTGTCGCACGCGACTCCGTCTGCGCGGAATAAAAAAAATTAATGGTCTATGTGTTCTTCGAGTCTATGTTCTACATTTATGCCAAATTTCAACTATCTGTTGTAAACATCCCCATTTATAATTAACAAAAAATATTATACTTTAACGTTGTAACGTATAATAATGACACTTGAACGATTTAAGTATTCATAAGAACATTCTCTAAATTATACTTAATTTTAATATAAAACAATCAATGGTTGGGAAACTGTTGCAATCTAATCTCGCATTGTTTCGCTACGTGCCGTCGACAATGAAAACAAAACACGCTCCCTATGTAAACACAGGCTAATAATATACCATGAACCTACATAATACTATATAGCAATGTGTTTGTACCCTTAAACTGATTTACATTTGGTATCAACCTGTATAACATATTCCTTTCTTTGTTTATTCAATGAGAAAGAAAAGGATGGATGATGGTCAAATACCAATTACGTGCAGCCAATTAAAAAGTTAAAACCAATGACCTATATACATGGACTGGCTATAATATATAGGAATTTGTGCATTTTTGATTTTTGCCATCTTGGCGTTGTAGCGGTTTGTAGCAGTAGAGTGGATTCGAACTAATAATATAGATATAACATTAAAAGGCGCATTTAAATCCGAAAGAAGCAATAGCTGTCATTTTCAAGCAATTGCCTCTCAATTTATAGAAATTAGAGGTTAAAATAAATTAATATCATTGCTAGGCACAAGGGCAGTCGACGCTTTGCTGACATCAAAATGGGCGACGGGGAAGAATCCTATATTCACGACGCGTCTCGAAGTCACCGACTTTCTTCACCAAATGCTCCTACATAAGTTATTCCACAGAGCTAAGAAGGTAAATAGGTCTTTATAAAAATTGTTCATTCATAATTCTAGCTTAATAATATGTCTTCACGTAAATTACAAAGTGTACGAGAATATTTAAAAATGTATTTCAAAATAGAATCCCTTGATTTATTCCTTTCGTTCATTTTAGGTATATTTGAATGTTATTTTGTTATTTTAGATACCCGTCAGTGAACAAGAATTAAAAGGCAAGTCTAAGAAAAAGGAGGCAGAGAAAAGCAAGAGTGGAGATGAGAAAGATCAAGCCAGCGCTTGCGAGGGAAAGGTAGGAGATTTTATTATGTGTATTTTAAATATAGGCAATCTGTGAATTTCGCATAGATTTTTTTCTCAATGTTAATTCCAACTAATGCCTAAATTACAGTGCTAAGTAATAACACAATGGTTTGGATTGTGTATTTATGTATAGTAGTTGCCCTCGACTTCGTCCGCGTTGAATTAAATAAAAGCTAGAAATATGTATAGCAGGTGTGGTACCCGCTGATACTGTAGCTTCCCAAAACAATATTTCAATCGGTAGAAAAATTAACAAACAAATCTTTCCTCTCATATTAGTATAGATAATTCTAGAAACTGAACAGATCTGAATGAAATAAGTACCAAAAATATTTCCCTGTCGAATAAGACTACTAACTGAGATTTTTTTCAAGGAAAATTATAGCTAATATCATTAAAATTCCAGGATACAAAAGAGAAAGACAAGGAGAAGGAGAAAGAGAAGAAGAAGCGTAAAATAAGGCTGGAGATGCACATGGAGCAGATGTTCCTGGACACCGCGGACGCGTACGTCTGGATCTACGACCCGATGCCCTGGTACTACTGGCTGTGCGGAGCGCTCGTTGTCTTTGGCACCATCGGAGTCTGCATGTTCCCGCTCTGGCCCGCCACTGTCAGGTGACTAACGAACACAATTATCTATCCTTAACATCAGGCGGAACACCTGATTCCAGTAACATCTGAAATAAGTTGATAGGTTACTTATGTTTTGCCTACTTTAAATGGCCACTGAGGGTATGTTTCCCCTTGTACATCCCTCTCCATTGCCAAGTTGACTTTGTCTACTTGAAGGAAAGAGTGAGAAGGGTAATTGGGCATCTGGCACACACTTAAACTGTGGTAGACGACAGCACATCAGAAAACACGCCTCAAGAGGAAGTTATGCTACGCACAATCTGATGATCGGCGACGAAAGCCTTATTTTACTCCTATTTCCCTTCCATACCCT